CTGTGTGATGGGGAGGCCAAGGGCACTTGCTCCAATAAAAAGTCATGGCCGGGCTCAGAGGCTCGAGCCTGTAATCTCAGCACTTTGCGAGGTGAGGCAGGTGAATCACTTTGAGGTCAGGAGTTCAAGACCAGCCTGCTCAACATAGTGAACCCCATTTTTACTAAAAATACAAAAATTAGTTGGGCGCGATGGCTTGAGCCTGTAATCTCAGCACTTTGGGTGGACAAGTCAGGCGGATCATGAGGTCAGGAGATTGAGACCATCCTAGCTAATACAGTGAAACCCCATCTCTACCAAGAATACGGAAAATTAGCCAGGTGTGATGGCACGTGCCTGTAGTCCCAGCTACTCCGGAGGCTGAGGCAGGGGAATCGCTTGAACCCGAGGGGCAGCGGTTGCAGTGAGACAAGATTTCACCACTGCACTTTAGCCTGGGTGACACAGAGAGACTCTGTCTCAAAAATAAATAAATGAAACCAAAAAAGTCACGGCTCTGCCCAGTTTCTAGAGCTGACTGGGTTTCCAACCCGAAGAACACTCACTAAAGTGAAGGCTGACTCTGCCGCTGACCTCGGTGACTGGACACGGAGCAAGGGAAATACACATCTTGAGAAGTGCTGGACGCGGTCTGGGCGATGCTGGCATTTGAAAGCCTGAAGCGTCCTCAGGGCTCCCATGAGAGCGAGGGGCCGGGTAGGAGCCAGGTAAGCAGTGGAATTCTGGCGAGGTCTGATCCACCAGCCTGTAGTCTGCATTTGCCCAGGGGTCATCTCCCCTGTGGCAGGACAGACAGAGCAGGCATTCCTGATGGTAGACACCGTTTCCTTGGCCGTCATAGTGGGTAAGTCCAGTGCAAATCTCTGCAGCCGTCCCCACCCAAAACAGTAAATCAAAACTGGGGGACATTAGGGACACATCTAAAGACCTAAAGGGCACAAGGAACTCCTTTTCTTGTGAGACAGAGTCTAACCCAGCTAGATATGGTGCCTTTGCTAGAGAGGGCTCCCCAGCCCCAGATGTGCAGCGAAGCCACTGCTGGGCAAGCATTCTCCTCCATCCCCCGTCTGGAAGGAAGATCCGACACACTCCCTTGGAATGCAAACAGGAAACCTATCCAGTTCCTCCCCAGGGCTGTGGTAACCTCCTGCCCTCTCACAATAATCCAGAGACCCACACCAGCTGAATGTCCCCAGAATGTCACACTGGCCCCCTCTACCGATGGTCCTGTGCTAATGAGACCAGATGAGCAAGATGTGGTGAGCACTCTGGACCCTCCTGAGAGAATCCCCTCCGAAGCACAGGACAGATAAGTGGCTGCCCCTTGCAGCCCCCTCGAGGACTCACAGCACTGGGAAGGCTTCTGGGAGCTGGAACAGCATGTTCCACATCTGGGGACTCTGCTCCAACCCAATCCTGGGGGACATGAAAGGATGGCTCTGAACGGGCACAGGACGAACATCACCGTGCGCCCAAGCCCAGCTCCAGCGTCCTGGCTGCTACATACGACCTGACCCTGCAGACTGCAGGTGAGGGCGGTAAAGGGGGGTTAAGGTCAAGTGCCTATGGAAGATCCTCCACACACGCAGGTTCAGAGAGGGCCATGCCAACCGCAGTGAGTGTCATGTGCCTGCCTGGAGGACTCCTGGCATGGTTCTGGGTACCTGTGGAGATGCACGGCCTGGCCACGGATGCCCAGTGGCTGTGTCTCCAATCTGCCTGCTGGGACTGGCTCTCAGACCAGCCCCATCGTGAGGCTAAGCAGGCAACTGTCATCTTCAGGGGGATGAGGTACATCCGGGACAGCAGGACGCAGCAGGCACAGGGGGTCCTGGCCTGCGAGGCCCCCACCCCATGATTTGTGTTCCCAGAGCAAACCCACGTTCACACCACCCCTGCCTCCCTGTCTAACACGCTCGGCTGAGGTCCAGGCCACTGTCCAGGCCTGCCAGGAGCATCTGTCCACCTTGGTGACAGCGGGAGCTGGCTCGTCCTCTGATGGGGGCCGTCCTCTGTGGCAGGGTGTCCTGTGCCCTGGCAGGAGCCCTCCTCACCAAGTCGTGACAACCCACAGTGCCTCCAGAGGTGGTCCCATGTCCCCAGGGGGACACAATGGCTGCCTGTTGAGAACCGCTAGCTCGCAGAACGTCTCATCCTGCAGGGTCCCGTCCAGGGTCTGTTGCATTCGACCAAGGGGCGGGTTTACAGCAAAGCCAGGGAAGGGGTGGGCTTGATCGAGGGGCACTTCTAGAAGCTTCTAGCCTGATGTGCCCTGTGGGAATGGAAGCCACCTCCAGGACCCGCGCATGCACTATATCCCCAAACTGAGCTGCTGGAGTCTGGGAACCAAGGTGGGAGCCCTCGCAGCCCTGCAGACCAGAGAGTGGGTCTCCCCCAGGGCTATGGCAGAGTCCCTACCTGGGCCCAGAAGGACAGCGGCGGCCCGCAGTTCACCCCAACCTCCCTCTTCCAAGTTCCCGTAGAAAGAGGCCCCGGCAGCGCCCGGGTGTGACGGGGCAGGTGCAGGGGGCAGGGGCCCTGCCGAGTAGAAAGAGGCCCCGGCAGCGCCCAGGTGTGACGGGGCAGGTGCAGGGGGCAGGAGCCCTGCCGAGTCCCAGGAGCCGGGCAGGGCAGGGCAGGGCGGTCCCACAGCGCCACCTGCCGGCCGCGCGCGCCCGGGTCCCCGGCCCAGGCCCAGAGGCCCCGAGGGGCGGGAGCTCGCGCGGCCCCGACGCCCACCTGCTGAGCCCAGGCAGGAGACGCGGTCCGAGGGGTCCGCTGAGTCAGGTGGGAGCTGGCGGCGCCGCATGGGGAGAAGCAGGCCAGGGTTCCTCCGGGAGGCGGCGCGCCTTGTCCCAGCCCCACCCCCGCCGGCGCCCCTCAAGCACCCAGGGAGGTGGACCCCAGCTCCGCGGTCCCAAGGACTCTGCCTGCGCCCTCGCCCCGTCCCTACCCGCTGGGTCGTCCCTCATTCCCGCCCAACCGCCCCCGCCAGCCCCCGCCCTCTGTGTCCCACGGGGACCCCGCCTGGCCTGGCCCCGATCCCCAGCTAGGGACTCCCTCGTGTTCACTGGCGACAAAGTGGAGGCTGGGGTCGCCCCTGCTGCGCGCCCGGGGGTCGCTGCGGTTCCGCGTCAGGGTGGAGGCTCAGGCTGGGGTCCTGATCCCAGCGTGCAGAACCGCGGGCCGCCCTCTAGGCCTCCCGCCCTCGACGCCCCATCGAGGGGCATCCTTGCAGCTGGGAGGACTAGGCTTCTAGGGGTTCCTGCTGGAGGGGGGCAGGGGTCCCAGACCCTGCCAAGTCCCACCTGAGATGGCTGCTCCACAGGGCAGAGCCGCGCAGGGACGTGCCTGATGTAGGAGGCGCCGGTACCGCCTCTGTCCGCCCTTGTGGGAGAGCACGAAGTGGCCCTGGGCCAGCCCCTGCTGGACTCTGCCTCTCCCCTGGGGCATCCTCCTCACTGGCCGTGCCCTCTCCTCCTCACCCAGGCTCACCACCTCCCCAAAGCACTCCCCAGGGTCAGGGCCTGTCCCTTGGGGCTTCCTGCTGGGGTTGCCTAGTTCCCACCCACCCTTGGGAGTTCCACCCTCCCACTGGAGACTCAGGTGCTCAGCCCCACAGGGACTCAGCTGGTGTCCCCCTACTTCTTTCCACAGCCATCCCCTTGGGCTCACCGCCATGCTGACCCCACTTTCTGAGCCCCCAGAGGGCCCACCCCACCCCCGCCCCTCTGGCCTCTGCCCTCGGCCTGTAGTCAGGATCCCACCTCTAGGTGGTCCCAATGGCACATGGAGCAGAGACTCCCCGAGAGGTCTCAAGTGGAGGGCAGCAGTGAACTGTGCCCCCTCTAGGGATTTGGGGCACCCTGGCCTAGGGTTAGAGGGAGAAGGGGAGATGCAGCAAGGCTGCTGAGTGCAATGGACCCAGGAAGAGCCAGAGCTGAGACACAGGGCCGGGCACCGCTCAGCCTGCCCAAGTGGGCTGTAGCCGCCCCTGCCCGCCAGGAGCACAGGGCAGGGTCTTCCTGCAGGGGATGTGTTCCCATTTGCAGGTAAGAGGGGCCACCCAGAGCTAGGGAGCATGGGTGCACTGAGGGGGGTTCATAGATACGGAACAGCATGGACATGGGGGTCACTACTGTCAGGGCAGTGCATGGCCTGGGACAGGAGTCCAGGGCAGGAGCAGGATGGACAGCCACCCATCCCCTGGGGACATTGGCATGGACAGGAGGGGCAGTGTGACCGAGGAGGAGTGGGTGGGGGAGACCAGCCCAAGTGGGACTTGGGAGCCATGAGAAGCCCAGGGAGGAGGCGTGGCCCTCAGAATGGAGCCCCCAGAGCCTGCAGCCTCTCACCCCCAGCCAGCTTGGGAGCTATGAGGAGCCCAGGGAGGAGGCGTGCCCCTCAGAATGGAGCCCCCAGAGCCTGCAGCCTCTCACCCCCAGCCAGCTTGTGAGCCATGAGGAGCCCAGGGAGGAGGTGTGCCCCTCAGAATGGAGCCCCCAGAGCCTGCAGCCTCTCACCCCCAGCCAGCTTGGGAGCCATGAGGAGCCCAGGGAGGAGGTGTGGCCCTCAGAATGGAGCCCCCAGAGCCTGCAGCCAGCTTTCTTTTTGGAGTCTCTTCAGTCCCAGGTGAGGAAGGGATAAGCCCTGGGGTTTGCAGTTGGCTGTTCCTCCAGTGCGGACTTCAAAGATGCCTTTCCCTGACCTGAGGGTCCCTGTGTGTATATCCTTGGATTCACTGAAGGGGGCCCCACAGGTTGGACCCCGGAAGCCCACCTGGTCACGACTTGAGGTTCTTGCCTGAGGCAGGGCCCCCATCTCTTCCCCCAAGTGCCACGTGATCCCTGTTCAGGGACAGCAGAGCCACCAGCCCTGGAAGGGACCTGTGCTGCCCCTGCAGACTCCAGCAGCCCTGGCCACCTCCCGGCTCTGCAGGCCAGGCACAGACTCACAGGAAAGGTCCGTACTGCTGAATGAGACAAATCACAGCCGTCCTCTTCCTGACTTCCTTCAGTGGTCAATTTTATTATAAACAATGGTATCAAAATAGACAAGTCTGTTTAAGAACAACCAAGAAATGCAGCTGTTTAAGGGCCAAGTGAGAACCCACCGCCGAGAGCAGGCAGCTCCACCGCAGGCCTCGTTCCCACAGGACGTCCTTCTCAATAACTTAAAGGGCAGGTTAATAACTTCTCGCTCGATGCGCACTACAGGTCTTCATGGGCGGGCGGCTGTGTTGGGCTTTCTTCTTCTGTGACTTCTGTCAGAAAACAAGCACAGTCGTCAAAGCTCGTCACCACGGCGGGAACAGCAGGGGCACCTGCAGGGCCTGCCCAGCCAGTCCTGGCTCAAGGCCCCTGACACAGCGGCCAGTGGTCAGAGCTCGTCACCACGGCGGGAACAGCAGGGGCACCTGCAGGGCCTGCCCAGCCAGTCCTGGCTCAAGGCCCCTGACACAGCGGCCCGTCCAAGGGCAGCTTGGAGACCCCGGGTTCCCCACAGCGGATGAGAGATGTGGCATGTGGCGTGGGCATGGAGGGTGCGGAGTTGGGAGTGGCCAGGGGTTCCTTGCAGCCCTGCAGGAGAGCCTGAGCAACGGTGGGGGAAGGGGCAAGGGGGGTGGGGGGGAGGCAGGGGCAAGAGGCAGGGCTAGCCACAGACCAAGAGGGAACCGAGGGGGGTAAGGGAGGGACAAGAGGGGCCTGAGGGTGGAGAAGGGAGGGGCAAGAGAGGACCGAGGGTGCGGAGGCGGAGGGGCAAGAGACAGGGCTGCCGCCGCCCCAGGCAGAGGGAACCTAGAGGGTGGCAAGCACCCTTGTCCTCTGGCCTGTCTCTGCTGACGCCTCAGTTCTCCTATTTTGGGGTTTCTGTTTACTACGATGCTTCTAGATGAGGAATTGCTTTTATGTGTCCTGCTCAGGAAACAGCTTCTGGAATCTGAGTCATGCCCTATTCATTCTGGAAAATTTTTGGCCAATATCTCCCTGAACGCTGCTTCCTTCCCCTCTCTATATTCTAGACTTCCACAAGGACTGCCATGGGCGACACTCTGTGATTGCCACCGTGTTTGGAAACGGCTTTTGCAGATGGTCAAGCTGACATGAGGGCATTAGCGACTGGTGTCCTTATGAAGCGGGGAGGTTTGCAGACGTCCGCAGGGAGCCCATGTGAAGACATGGGAGCAGGTGGCGCCACCCCCAGGCGAGGACAGAGGCCGAGATAAATGCGCCCGCCAGCCTCCCAGGGAACCAGCCTGCTTGCATCTGGGCCTCTGACTTCTGGCTCCAGAGCTGTGAGAGGCCCTTTTCTGCTGCTGGAGCCCCGAGTCCCTGGTTCTTGGTGAGGCAGCCCTGGGAAACAGGTACAGTTGGGGAACCTGCTTGCCCTCCACCCCTTCCTGCCTGTCCCTGTTTCTGTGGCGCCTTCCCCAGATGACTTTTCCAGCTCATCAGCTGCTCTTCCCCATGTCTGCTCCCCTGCTCACCGCCCGCTGAGGTCTGAGCTCCAGAGACTCTCCCTTCCATCACCTTCACTTCCGTTTGTGCTGTGAACCTCAGGAAGCCGGTACCTCTGCACGAGTATGCGCCCACAGAGGTGCCACGCACCTGTCTCCCGGGAAGCCCACTCTCACCACCCCAAGGCCACTGTCTGTGTGGATTTCAGACCAAGCAGCCAGCCTACATGCAAACCCTGTGTCCCAGGGAGGGCAGGCTGTGGAGCAGGAGCTGAGCCACTCACCAGCCTCGGCCGGCGGCACACAAGCATCTTCCGTCTCCTCAAAGCCGTCGGGACACACGCAGACGTAGCTCCCTGGAGTATTGTAGCAGTTTTCGTTCTTCCTCACACATGCTTTTGCTGCCAGTGAGCACTCATCTACGTCTAAGATTCAGACTTCATCTTAGTAATTACTGCACTTAGCAGATTCACAGCAGATGATGAAACTCATTCATTCACATAAAGCACAGCGATGACAAATGGCCCGTTAGAGAAGGGAGCAAAGGTCAGGAAAGGCTTCATGGGGGCAGAATTTCACGTTTCAAAGTTGGGCCCACCACTGTGGAAAATGCAGAGACCTCCAGGGGAGGCCAGCCGCCCAGCATGCGCCTAGAAAGCCACTTTCTCCCCCTGGGTTCCAGCCAAGCCCAGGCTCACCCAGGCAGGCCACAGCCACAGCAGGCCTGGCCTTGAGCTTCAGGGCATGTGCCACCCAGGAGCTGGAGGGAGAGTGGAGGCTCTGGACCTGGGGACCAAGGCCCCTGGTGAGAGGCGAGTTCAGCAGCACCATTCACACCGTGGTCGGCCATGCAGAGCCCACCCCACACTCCCCACTGCTTGTGTGTCTCGTGTGGCCCTCAGGGTGAGTGCACAGTAACCCTGGGGGAGTGGCGTCTGCAGGGCGGGTCTCAGCTGCTTCCCATCCCTGGGCAGCGCCTCCAGGGGCCGTTCACATCGTGGTCCCTTGGGAATGTCCATCTGTGTCCAGCACATACCCTGTCACTGACCTGCACACTGTCCGAGCTCCCTCGCATAGCCGGGAATGCACTCTTTACAGTTCCCTGGGCCTTCCCCTGTGCAGCCCACGCAGCTGGAGTCACACTCTACAACAGGAAGCAGGCGTCAGACCCCACACATGCAAGGCATGGGGACACAGTGCTGGGGACAACAGGGAACCGGTGTCAGACTCCGACACACGTGCAGGGCACCAGTACCAGGGAGGATCTGGGTTTTCTCTGCATCCATCGCTAAGTGACTTCATAACGACCTGTCTCTGTCTCACGGCCAAAGCACAGGCTTGCATCCTGCCGTGTGGCAGAAGCTCCCGGAAAGCCATGGCACAGACCCCCTGGCTTGGAACCCCTTGGGGAGAAACTAGGTACCAGAGGTTCTAGAAACAAAACCCACCCCCAGCTCAGTGACATTGGTTTGTCAGCCTGCCCAGAGCTGACTAAAAACTACGGGAGCCTCCTGCACGGCTTCCAGTGTGGTGGCACTGAGGGTCCACCGTCTGCACTCGCAACCGTGGAAACTGCCCAGGGCTGCGCAGACACGGGGCAGAGGCAGCTTCCTCCCTACTGCTGACACTGGGGATCGGCACAACTCTTCTGGGGCACTATGGCCCTAAAGACACGTTCCCTTGACTAATGATTTGGAAATTAATCCAAAGAAAATAATAAGGAATGTGAAAAGCTTTACCTTCAAGAGTATTCAGTTTTTGACAGCTGAAAAATTGTTAGACGTAAACGTCCAGCAACAGACGTTGTTTTAGAAAAGTATGACATAGGTCCAGGCGCGGCGGCTCACGCCTGTAATCCCAGCACTTTGGGAGGCTGAGGCGGGTGGATCAGGAGGTCAAGGGATCGTGACTATCCTGGCCAACATGGTGAAACCCCATCTCTACTAAAAATACAAAACTCAGCTGGGCGTGATGGCGCGCACCTGTATTCCCAGATACTCGGGAGGGTGAAGCAGAAGAATTGCTTGAACCAGGGATGAGGAGGTTGCAGTGAGCCAAGATTGCACCACTGCACTCTGGATGGTGACAGAGTGAAACTCGTCAAAAAACAAAAAAATGTATGAAATAATGGCATGCTCCAAAATCATTAATGAGAAACCACAGGACATGTGGAAACGTTCACGACATGTGGCTGAGCAGAGAACACCACTGCCAGGCGCTCTGGACAATCACCGTCCGCGCACACTGGGGAAGCATTAGCAGGGCGGGCTCCATGGAATTCAGGGCTTTTTAACTGTTTTTTCCATCTTACTTGACGTTTCGTTTCTGTTTTTCCTGCAGTAAATACCTATGACACTAAGTGCTCTCAGAGCAAGCAGAATCATAAACGAATGTTTACAAAAGCAGTGATGGCACCCAGCGGGGCCCGGAGTTCATGCACACCCGCCCGCCTGGCCCACCTTCACACGTGTAGGAGCCGTTGACGTTCTTACAAAACTGCGCGGCGCTGCAGGGAGGAGTCTCAGCCGCACACTCATCCACATCTGGAACAGAGCAGTGCAGCTGTGAGTGGCCCGGGACAGCCTGGCCAGGGAGCAGGGGAGGACCGATCATGGCCAGGGCCGGCTGGGGAAGGGCAGGGAGGAGGGCAGCCCCTGGTGGGAATTATCTCAAATGCCATCCTCGGAGGCCCCAAATGGCAGGGGAGGGGATGAGGCAACAGCTAGGCTCTGTCCTTAGACACTCAGCACCAACTGGCGGAGGGGCCCATGAGGATGGTGGCACATCATGTGAGGATCAGACGGTGAGCGCCTCACGCCTCGAGCCTCCAGACCTCACGCCCTAACGTCCTTCCTGCTCTCCCCCAGAGCTGTGGGACCTGCCAGGGGCTGAGCCCTGAATCTGCCTGAGGCCAAGAAGCTGCTGAGGGGTGAAACCAAAACCCAGGCCCGCAGAGGGAGGGGGCAGCCCGGCCTCTGCCTACCCGCCCGGCACCTGGCCTGTGGGAAAGCCACAGTCAGTGCCAACCCCTTCCCGGGGAGCCAGAGCCCTTGGCTTCTCCAGGGCTCAGAGGTGCTGCAGGGTGGCTGGCTTTGTAAGTGCTATGCCCACAGCCAGGCTGGTGGTAAGAGATGCAGCCGAGGCAGGTGGTGCCCACCATGCGGGGGATGGGGTAGGGGAAGCACAGCACAAAGCTGGGAACACCCAGCCCCGCACTGCCCCAGAACCTGGAGGCCTGTGTGAGGAGGCGAGAGCCCCTCCTGGCTGAGCACTGCTAGGCATGGAGTCGGCTTGCCACACCCCTCAGACAGCAGGAGCTCGTGGGCAGCTCTCTGCTACCCTGAGCATGCTGTCTGTGTGTTGGTGGGGGGGGGGCAGTTTCTACCACATGTGCTGGCAGCCTGGCCCTGCCCACCTACCTGCTCCTAGACCTGGCTGCGCCGCCGTGCCCTGCCCCTGCCTCCATTCCCTGGGACCCACCAGCCTCCGCCACCATGCATGCAGCCAAGACCACCCCGACACTCGCCATCTGTGTGTCCTCTGAAACCCACACGGGAGGACATAGGTGGCCCCCGCTGGAGGCTTCCCTCCCAGGAACACACTGGGTGAGTTCTCAGACACTACTGGCTGACTCAGGGCAGCTGGCACCAGAGCCCCACAGTCCCAGGGCCAGCCGACGGCAAGGACACTGTGGCCCCAATGCCTGTTGGTCCAGAGTTTAGGCTGCAGAAGGTAGGAAGGAAGCCCCTCGGTCCTTCCTGACCCTTGCATGGTAGGATCACAGGTGTGGGAGCCGAGGTGTCCACTCGAGGGTCCTTCCTGTGACCCGTAATGTGTAGAGATGGGAGGGCCGTGATGGGGAGCACCCGGGGGAGGGGATGCAGAGGCTGGGCAGAAGTGGCCCTTGGGGAGCCAGCACCCCCGGACCTCCTCACCCACGCAGGCGTCCTCCTCCAGCACCCCGGCCCTCCTCACCCACGCAGGTGTCCTCCTCCACCACCCCAGCCCTCCTCACCCACGCAGGCATCCTCCTCCACCACCCCTGGCCCTCCTCACCCACGCAGGCATCCTCCTCCAGCACCCCTGGCCCTCCTCACCCACGCAGGCGTCCTCCTCCACCACCCCGGCCCTCCTCACCCACACAGGCGTCCTCCTCCACCACCCCGGCCCTCCTCACCCACGCAGGCGTCCTCCTCCAGCACCCCGGCCCTCCTCACCCACGCAGGCGTCCTCCTCCAGCACCCCGGCCCTCCTCACCCACGCAGGCGTCCTCCTCCAGCACCCCGGCCCTCCTCACCCACGCAGGCGTCCTCCTCCAGCACCCCGGCCCTCCTCACCCACGCAGGCGTCCTCCTCCAGCACCCCGGCCCTCCTCACCCACGCAGGCGTCCTCCTCCAGCACCCCGGCCCTCCTCACCCACGCAGGCGTCCTCCTCCACCACCCCGGACCTCCTCACCCACGCAGGCGTCCTCCTCCAGCACCCCGGCCCTCCTCACCCACGCAGGCGTCCTCCTCCAGCACCCCGGCCCTCCTCACCCACGCAGGCGTCCTCCTCCAGCACCCCGGCCCTCCTCACCCACGCAGGCGTCCTCCTCCAGCACCCCGGCCCTCCTCACCCACGCAGGCGTCCTCCTCCAGCACCCCGGCCCTCCTCACCCACGCAGGCGTCCTCCTCCAGCACCCCGGCCCTCCTCACCCACGCAGGCGTCCTCCTCCAGCACCCCGGCCCTCCTCACCCATGCAGGCGTCCTCCTCCAGCACCCAGCCCACTTCACACTCGCCGCAGTCTCTATTGGTCGGGCCCGAGCACGTCTTGCAGGACTCGTCGCAGGCTGGAAGGGAAACGTGGGCCTGGGTACCAACGACCCATGCACCATCTCAGGTGCCAGCTTGGAGACAAGGCTCATTGAGAAGTGAGGAATTGAAGGGGAAAAAGCAACATGAAGTTTTCAGTGCCCATGAATTGGAAATTCTCAGAACTCCAAGGAATTTTTTAACAACCTGGAGAAGGCGTACTCTGTCCACACCCTGGAGCTGTAGCCTGGCTGGGGGTGTGTGCTCCAGCCATGGATCCACGCGTGCTCCAGCCATGGATCCACGCGTGCCCCATGCCACGCCAATGTCCGAGAGACAGAGACGGCGAGGGGTATAAGAATGTGAGAGGCCGGTCCTGACTGGAGGGCCACAGGTCCATCTGCCCAGAATAGCCTAGGGGGCTGCTGGGCAACCATGCACTCACCTCTGGGCCATCAGTACACCCAGAGTCTTCCTACACGTCAGTGATAACCAGTGAGAAAACGTCTTTTGGAAGACGTTACTCATGCGGCCTGCCCGGATTTGTGAAAGGCAAGCCTGGTGCTCACAGACGCTGCCCCCAGGCCCGTGCAGGGCCCACACAGCACCTCCAGGACACGTGCACAGCATGGCCCATCACAACTCAGGGTCAGGGGTGGACCTTGAGCTAGAGAGAAAAGTGGAGAGCTTCTCCCTTCTGGGGTGGTTACAGGATGAGCTTGCTCTGCCTCTCACCCTTCTCGGCGCCCTCAGCTTCCCTGTGCATCTGGGGTTAAGAGATCAACAAGCCCCTGCTCCCATCTATACTGTTCTCATCCTGCCTCGGCCCCGGGGCCCGCCCAGGCATAGCCCCTACCTGTGCAGAAGCTGTGGGTCTCGTTCCGGAGCGAGCTGAAGTAGCCATCCATGCAGTCGGCGCACAGCGCACCCTGGTACCCCACATGGCACCGGCAGGACCCGTCGCCCTGTCTGCTGCCGTCTCCACTGCAGTGGCCATTCCCGCTGCAGGGCCTCTGGGACCCGCCCTGGCACTCTTTGGGGACACGAAACCATGATCAGAGCCTACCTGGAGGTGACCAGTGGGGTGTTCTCACATGGAGAGAACACACTGCACCCCTCAAAACGTGCAATGAAACCCAAACCCTGCAGGATTCTGAGGACAGGCATGAGCCTGCAGGCTTGGGGTGTGGGTGTTTAGGGAAACTGATTTCCTGAAGGTGGATCGTTGAGTGGAGCAAGCCACAGGCTCCCAGCCTTGGCTAGTCACACGCTGTGTGATGACATTTAGGTCAACAAGGGACCACACATGCCATGGCTGTTCCCAAGATGGCAAAAAGCTGAAAAGCTCCTACTGCCTAGTGACATCATAATATGACAGTTACCTGTTCTATACTTAGGTGTGTTCAGGTAACATTCTTACCATCGTGTCACAGTGGCCCACAGTACTCAGGACCCTCATGTGCTGTGCAGGTGTGCAGCCTGGGAGCAGCAGGGCCTGCCAGGCAGCCTAGGTGTGAAGTAGGCTGGGTGCAGCAGGCCCTACCAGGCAGCATAGGTGTGAAGTGGGCTGTGAGCAGCAGGCCCTGCCCAGCAGCCTAGGTGTGAAGTGGGCTGGGTGCAGCAGGCCCTACCAGGCAGCGTAGGTGTGAAGTGGGCTGGGTGCAGCAGGCCCTACCAGGCAGCGTAGGTGTGAAGTGGGCTGGGTGCAGCAGGCCCTGTAGCAGCATAGGTGTGAAGTGGGCTGGGAGCAGCAGGCCCTGCAGCAGCATAGGTGTGAAGCGGGCTGGGTGCAGCAGGCCCTACCAGGCAGCATAGGTGTGAAGTGGGCTGGGAGAGCAGGCCCTGCCCAGCAGCCTAGGTGTGAAGTGGGCTGGGTGCAGCAGGCCCTGCAGCAGCCTAGGTGCGGAGCAGGCAGCACCATCTAGGTTTGTGAAGGGCACTCTGTGATGTTGGTACAACGGCAAAGTCACCTAATGACACATTTCTCAGAACACACCTGGTCATTACACGTGACTGCACTTTGTGGCTTTGGGCAGCCTGGGCTGAAACACGGTGATGAGGACACTTATGGTTAGGCGTGGGGACTGCAGGGAGAGTGGGAACATCGGCTGTGGCTCCCAGTACACACCAGGGACGGCAGCAGAGGCCGGCAGGAGGCCGACAGGGTGTGGGGGGTGGTCCTGAACCTCAAACTTCTGCTACCTGATCCAGCTTGATCATGCGATTAGCTCTTATCAGCAGTACACCGTGGCTTCAGTTTCAATACATACTTCTTCACAGAAGGCCCTATCCCGCATCACCCATTAAGGCTCAAGGCCATTCGCCCAGCCTGATAGACACCGACTGCCCTGGGCTCTCTGCAGACGGGTCTTTGCCGCTCTGTGGGCAGGGCTGCAATGGCAGCCACAGAAGCAACTGTGTGGCCACCTCTGCGCATGCAGAGAGAAGCAACTGCACAGATCAGTCAGCACAGACTCAGGTGAGTGGACTCACCTGTGAACCACCTGAGCCTGTGAACCTCTGAATTAAAAGCACAGCTGGGATAAGACACTCAGTTTCACAGCTAAAGCATGAGGTTAGTGGTGAGGCTGCAGCTCCGAGCTGTGTTGAGGGGTGGGGAGGCAGCTGTCCAGCAGAAAGCAGAAAGGTATAGACGCTACAGACCCCAGGTCCCCTCTGTGCTTTTATCCCCAAGAATTACGAGAGGAAGAAGGGAAGTGACACAGGAGATGGGATCTCCCTAAGAGGAAACGCACCAAGACAGTCAGGGCCGTAGGTTCCTGGAAGGCAGCACACTTTCAGTGTTTTCACACAAAACCATTCAAATAAGTCGGGATACTCATTCTTCCTAAGGATTTAAGAAAACATCCATCACTGAATCCCACCAGACACATTTCTTTAAAACAAAAATGCAGTGGAATATAACACATGCTCTAGAGTATTGTAAGATCCAGGAAACAAGAGTCTAGGTGTGCACAGAATCTTCTCATTAATTCCCCAGTTTTGATCACCGGCTCTGGGGATAAGAATCGGTAACACAGGAGTCAGGTGGGTGCTAGGCAGGTGGGCGCTCCACACTGTTCCCGTACCTTTCTAAGCCTGAGGTAACTTCAAAGCATAAGTTGGAAAATAAAAAGTATCTTCTAAGAGGTTTCAACGGCACTCACAGCTGGAGCCACCAGGCCTCCAGGTGCTCCTCCTGCGCCTCCAGCATCTGGTTGCACTCGAAGTCGCTGCTCTCGCACAGCCCCTCCAGGATCTCCAGCAGGCGAATCTCGCTGAAACACAGGCCCACACGGCCCACGGTCAGCACGTCAAGGCAGTGAAGAAGGACCCGAACCAATGCGCCAACCTGGGTGCAGGGGTAGGGGGGGGTGCGGGACTCCAGGCAGAGAGGGGAAGGGGAAGCCAGGAGTGGTTCACACGAGTGGGGCTGGGGCTGCTGCTCCGTTTCACACTGTCTGTTGAGCGGGGACCAGCTATAGAGACCAGAGCAGCAGCTGGAAGGCCGGAGAGGAGCCACCCGTTAGTCCTTATTTAGGCAGCAGCCGCAGTGACTCAGGTGGCCGGGGCCTCGGGGGCTGTTCTGTGTCCCTGACGTTAACACAGGCACCAAAGGCAGGTCGCGGCTTCCCAGGCCAGGCCAGGCAGAGACCCCGGGGGTGCCCCGGAGCACCCACCTGAACTCGTACTTGGACAGCGTCTTTTCCTCCCAGGCCGTGTTCCCGCCGCCAAAGTTCTTGTTTGCGGTGTCCACCATGCCCTGCAAGGAGGTGGTGCCCACAGGGCTTGGTGCCACCTGACCCCGGGCCCAGGGTGAGGGGACCCCCGGTCTATAGTGGGGTCGACTCCGGGCCCACGGTGGGGGCGGATCCCCAGTTCAGGGTGAGGGGGACTCCAGGACCACGGCGGAGCGACTCTTGATCGAGGGGGAGGGGAACCCCGGGTCCACGGTGGCGGTGACCTCGGATCCAGAGTGAGGGGGACCCAGGGCCCACGGTGGACGACCCGCCGGCCCCTGCTCACCTGGTTAAACTTGTCCACCAGCCCCCGGCACCGCTGGCAGGGCGTCGGCTTGTTGGCGGCCCCCGGCGCTGGCGGCGGCAGCAGCAGCAGCAGAAGCGGCAGGAGTCCCAGCGCAGCCCGGCGCGGCGGGTGCATGGCGGGCAGCGCTGCGGGCAGACGCAGCCGGCGCTCCAGGTGCTGCACCGCGCGGCTCCGGCCTTTCGGCCGCCCACCCGCTCCGAGCCGCGCCGGCAGTTCCCCCGGCTACTTGACGGCGCCGACGAGGCCCCGCCCCGCCCGCCAGCCCCGCGTCGCTATTGGTCTGTGGGACCCGCCCCGACCTGATGTGGCCCAATCCGAGCTCGCCACGAGAAGAGACCAATGGGAAGGCCCCGGGTCAGCGTCCGCCGGGAGGCCGGGGGCGGGCATGCCGGGCCGGCCCCGCCCCCTCTCCCCGCCCCTCGCGCGCAGCTCGCGGCGGCCATCTTTACTCCGGTCACGTAGGGTTCCCGCGGCCACAGCGGCTGGGGTTGTCGTGGCCACGTTAAATTCGGGCAAGGGCTTCCCTCTGTTCTGTTTCCGCCGTTCCGCTTCCTGCCGAGGCCGGCGCAGGCGGCCGCGCTCCGAAGGACGCCGCCGGGAGCTGCGGAGGTCAGTGCGCGCTGCTGCTGCCGGGGCCCTCGGGCGGGCGCGCGGCGACACCGGGGAGGAGGCGGGACAGGGCGCGACCCCAGCTGGCCCTGGCGCTGGATTCCTGACGCCTCACCGCGCATGTCCACGCGTCACAGCCGCCGTGCTCCTCACCTGGGGCCCCGACCCCTCACCTAGGCCCGGGCTCCTCACCTGGGGCCCCGACCCCTCACCTAGGCCTGGGCTCCTCACCTGGGGGCCCCGACCCCTCACCTAGGCCCGGGCTCCTCACCTGGGGGCCCCGACCCCTCACCTAGGCCCGGGCTCCTCACCTGGGGCCCCGACCCCTCACCTAGGCCCGGGCTTCTCACCTGGGGGCCCCGACCCCTCACCTAGGCCCGGGCTTCTCACCTGGGGCCCCGACCCCTCACCTAGGCCCGGGCTCCTCACCTGGGGGCCCCGACCCCTCACCTGAGGACCGGGCTTCTCACCTGGGGGCCCCGACCCCTCACCTGAGGACCGGGCTTCTCACCTGGGGGCCCCGACCCCTCACCTAGGCCCGGGCTCCTCACCTGGGGGCCCCGACCCCTCACCTAGGCCTGGGCTTCTCACCTGGGGCCCCGACCCCTCACCTAGGCCTGGGCTCCTCACCTGGGGGCCCCGACCCCTCACCTAGGCCCGGGCTCCTCACCTGGGGCCCCGACCCCTCACCTAGGCCCGGGCTTCTCACCTGGGGCCCCGACCCCTCACCTAGGCCCGGGCTCCTCACCTGGGGCCCCGACCCTCTCACCTAGGCCCGGGCTCCTCACCTGGGGCCCCGACCCCTCACCTAGGCCCGGGCTCCTCACCTGGGGCCCCGACCCCTCACCTAGGCCTGGGCTCCTCACCTGGGGGCCCCGACCCCTCACCTAGGCCCGGGCTCCTCACCTGGGGGCCCCGACCCCTCACCTAGGCCTGGGCTCCTCACCTGGGGGCCCCGACCCCTCACCTAGGCCTGGGCTCCTCACCTGGGGGCCCCGACCCCTCACCTGAGGACCGGGCTCCTCACCTGGGGCCCCGACCCCTCACCTAGGCCTGGGCTCATCACCTGGGGGCCCCGACCCCTCACCTAGGCCTGGGCTCCTCACCTGGGGGCCCCGACCCCTCACCTAGGCCTGGGCTTCTCACCTGGGGCCCCGACCCCTCACCTAGGCCTGGGCTCCTCACCTGGGGCCCCGACCCCTCACCTAGGCCCGGGCTCCTCACCTGGGGCCCCGACCCCTCACCTAGGCCCGGGCTTCTCACCTGGGGCCCCGACCCCTCACCTAGGCCCGGGCTCCTCACCTGGGGCCCCGACCCCTCACCTAGGCCCGGGCTCCTCACCTGGGGCCCCGACCCCTCACCTAGGCCCGGGCTCCTCACCTGGGGCCCCGACCCCTCACCTAGGCCCGGGCTCCTCACCTGGGGCCCCGACCCCTCACCTAGGCCCGGGCTCCTCACCTGGGGGCCCCGACCCCTCACCTAGGCCTGGGCTCCTCACCTGGGGGCCCCGACCCCTCACCTAGGCCCGGGCTCCTCACCTGGGGGCCCCGACCCCTCACCTGAGGACCGGGCTCCTCACCTGGGGCCCCGACCCCTCACCTAGGCCTGGGCTCATCACCTGGGGGCCCCGACCCCTCACCTAGGCCTGGGCTCCTCACCTGGGGGCCCCGACCCCTCACCTGAGGACCGGGCTCCTCACCTGGGGCCCCGACCCCTCACCTAGGCCTGGGCTCCTCACCTGGGGGCCCCGACCCCTCACCTAGGCCTGGGCTCCTCACCTGGGGGCCCCGACCCCTCACCTAGGCCTGGGCTCCTCACCTGGGGGCCCCGACCCCTCACCTAGGCCTGGGCTCCTCACCTGGGGGCCCCGACCCCTCACCTAGGCCTGGGCTCCTCACCTGGGGGCCCCGACTCCTCACCTGGGCACCAGACCCCTCACCTGAGGGCCGTACCCCTCACCTGGGGACTGGACTCCTCAGCTGGGCACCAGACGCCTCACCTGAGGGCCGTACCCCTCACCTGGGTGCTGGACTTCTCACCTGGGAGCTAGACTCCCACCTGGGGCTGGTCTCCTCACGTGGGAGACGGTTTTTCACTTGGGGGCTGGGGTTTTCACCTCAGGCTCGGGGTCTGCATTTCTGCAGGCGCTTGAGGCGATGGACACTCGCTAACATTCAGGAATCTCTGGTTTAAATGAGGGGAAATAAAATGCGCGGAGTCTGGATTTCAGAGAACTCCTGCCTGTGGAAGGAGGGAGTGCAGATAGCGCCGTTTCCTCTGGCCCTTGGTGGGCAGCAGGTGTGATTTCCATCGGATGATTTGTGTCTCCTGCGGAGGCTGATTATTGTTATTAATAATGGTCACATCTGATTTGACCAGTTTGAGACGGAGTCTTGCTCTGTTGCCCAGGCTGGAGTGCAGTGGTGTGATCTTGGCTTACTGAAGCCTCTCCCTCCTGGGTTCCAGGGGTTCTCCTGCCTCAGACTCCTGAGTAGCTGGACTACAGGCGCCGGCCACCACCCTGGCTAATTTTTATATTTTTAGTGGAACCACCACACCTGATCTAATTTGACCAATTTCAGTAGAGCCCTTAAAATCTGAACTGATGGCCAGGCGCAGTGGCTCACGCCTGTAATTCCAACACTTTGAGAGGCTGAGGTGGGTGGACACGAGGTCAAGAGATCGAGACCGTCCTGGCCAACATGGTGAAACCCTGTATCTGCTAAAAATACAAAAAATTAGCTGGGCGTGGTGTCACGAGCCTGTAGTCCCAGCTACTCGGGAGGCTGAGGCAGGAGAATTGCTTGAACCCAGGAGGCGGAGGTTGCAGTGAGCCGAGATTGTGCCACTGCACTCCGGCCTGGCACCTGGCAACGGAGTGAGACTCTCAAAAAAAAAAAAAAATCTGAAATGATGGGGACAAGAGAAACTTTGCAGGTCATTCCCTAATCTGAGAGGCTATTGTTTGTAAACCACAGTTTTAAAGCTCGTGGCTTGGGCGTGTTTTAACCTGTGGGTAATCCCAAGGCATCCTTTATTTAGAGTAGCCACAGCTGCTGAGCAGAGCACGGGACAGGACAGCGTCCACTCACCCTCGCCCAGTGGGAACTTAGTCGTGATTTTTTTTTTTTTTTTTTTTGAGATGGAGTTTTGCTGTTGTTACCCGGGCTGGAGTGCAATGGCACAGCTCACCACAACCTCTGCCTCCTGGGTTCAGGCAATTCTGCCTCAGCCTCCTGAGTAGCTGGGATTACAGGCATGCACCACCATGCCCAGCTAATTTTTGTATATTTAGTAGAGACGGGGTTTCACCTTGTTGACCAGGATGGTCTTGATCTCTTGACCTTGTGATCTACCCGCCTGAGCCTCCCAAAGTGCTGGGATTACAGGCGTGAGCCACCGCGCCTGGCCATTAGTCATGGTTTTTGCACTTGCCAGTGTTGACTTGGTCTCCCTGCGCTCCTGGCAGAGCATCTAGACTCACCCTTGGTCTTCTCATGCCTTTGAAAGTGAGCTTCACTGGTCATCAGCAGAAAGCACACCCGTGTCGGGGCTGAGGAGGTGCTTGGGGCCTGCCAGGAGGGGCAGAGTCTGCACATAACGTTTTCGTCCCACAGCTGAACTTTTATTTGCTGGGGAAATTCTCCAGGTGGAGGCGTGGAGTGGGGTGGCAAGGACTGCCCATGTCGGTGGCTCCTGCCAAGCAGCACTTGCTGAGTCCACCAATCAAGCCTGTCCAGCAGGGGAGGTGGCAGAGAGGTACCCTTCAGACCACAGTGGCCAGTCTCTGTCCTTGGTGCTGAGGCTGCACTGGTGAGGAAAAGAAATACAACATAGAAAATCCCCCACCCACAAAAACTTGTGTCTTAGCAAGTGGGAGACAGTTGAGGAGCCCCTCCCTCACCTGGTGGACAGTGGTTCCTCACCTAGTCCTTCCATCTTTTTGTTTGATACCAAGTTTAATTTTTTAAATTTTTATTATTTATTTATTTTTGAGATGGAGTTGCTCTGTGGCCTAGACTGGGTTTCAGTGGCACGATCTCAGCTCATTGCAGCCTTTGTCCCCTGGGATCAAGCGATTCTCCTGCCTTAGCTTCCCAAGTAGCTAGGATGACAGGCGTGTGCTGCCACACCCGGCTATTTTTTGTATTTTTAGCAGAGACGGGGTTTCACCATGTTGGCCAGGCTGGTCTCCAACTCCTGACCTCTGGTGATCCACCCACCTCAGCTTCCCAAAGTGCTAGGATGACAGGCGTAAGCCACTGTACCCAGCCCCAGGTTTTTATATTTGGCAAAGGAAGGAAAGATCTATGCTATTTCTAACAAGAACTGTGTACCATTTTAGTCATGCTTAAATTATTAAAGCTTTCTCTCCTCTTTCTCTTCACCCCCACCTCCACCATATCAATAGGATTCCTCTTCCTCCTCATCTACAGATTCTTTTTCCGCTTGCTATCTTTGTACAGTGGACTTCTTAGCTCTCTGTTTGATCAGAAGGTAGTTTTGACTGAGCACAGTGGCTCACGCCTGAAATTCTAGTACTTACGGAGGCTGAGGTGGGAAGATTGCTTGAAGCCAGGAATTCCATACCAGCCTGGTGACAAAGCAAGACCCCATCTTTCCAAAAAAGTAAGAGCACTTAGCTGAGTGTGGTGACACACACCTGTGTCCCCGGTTACTCAGGAGGCTGGGGCAAAAGGATCCCAGGAGTTTGAGGCTGCAGGGAGCCATAATCACGCCACTACACTCCAGCTTGAGTGACAGAGTAAGACATGGTCTCTTTAAAAAAAAATTTTTTTTTAATAATTGTAACAAATGGAAAGCCTGGGGTTCTCTCTCCCTTTGCTTCTGGCCCTTCTGGTTTGGATTGAATAAAATCAAACCTGTTTTAAAAGAAGCCAGAAGCATGAAGAACTTGTCCACCTCCCCTCCCTTGGCATCCCATGTATAGCAGCTGGACACGTTGATGATTTCTCAGGAAGCTCCGTGCCATGGGCCCCCTGAGGTTGGCCTGTTAGTGTTTGGGGGACCCATTGCCAGTCTCCCCAGGGCACATGTGCAGGCTCACGGCCAGTGTGGCGCCACCTTTGGGAAAGCCAGTCATGGCTTCTTCCAGCCCCCAGGGTGGGGTTCTGTGCAGGCATCCACAGCCCCACCCCACCATTCCTGGGAGTGGGGGCTTTGCTGGCCACCTGAGCCCTGCATCCTGGCAGCTGTGCTGTGTACAGCCCCCTGCCCTCCTGGGGCTCCTGTCTGCCACCCTCTGGCTTCATGCCTCCCACCCAGCTTACCAACCCCCCTCAGCCTCCATTCCCTCTTCCTCAGCAGTTCCCTTGGGGCTGAGCCTGGATTTTGCTGACTTTCCTGCCAGATTTAGACTGGGGGGTAGGGGCATTTACAACCTTCATTGACCTCATGGCCCAGGTCTGGTCAGACTCAGCATTCTACGACTGAGCCCTTCTCCCCCAGGAAAACATTCACAGAGCTGGCAGTGCAGTCACTGGTTACACTATGAAAGCCTCTCAAGTGTGATTTGTAGTAGTGTGACTAAGAGCCAGACCCCCCAATCATGAGCACAAGTGTGGCTTTTGGAACTCAGGAATCTGTGTTTTCGCTCTTTCAGCATGCTTGGAGTGGCAGTGCTAACGGCTGCTGTCTTGCACCCTTGGTTCTGTGAAGGTGCCTGAAGTTGTAAGCCCCAAATGGCTGGAAAGAGGTCATCAGGCAGGCGGCCCCTGCTGCTGTGGCTGCTGGTGGCAGTAGCTGCTATCCATCTGGTCACCTGTCCCTACACCAAAGTGGAGGAGAGCTTTGCCCTGCAGGCCACGCATGACCTGCTCTACTACCGGCAGGCCTTGGGGCAGGTGAGGCCCTGCTGTCTTCGGGGAAAGCCTCCTGTTTCCAGCTCGCAGGGCCCTGTGCGCTGACCTGCCATTCTCCTCACAGTACGACCATCTCGAGTTCCCTGGGGTTGTCCCCAGGACCTTCCTGGGGCCGGTGGTGATTGCCACGTTGTCCAGTCCCGCGGTTTTCGTGCTTTCACTGTTGGAGACGTCCAAGTTTTACTCTCAGCTAATAGGTAAGGGGGTCTTCAGTGAAAGAGGAGGGAGTGAAGGATTGTGGTGTCATCGGGTGACCTCACCGAGGCTGCAGCTGCCCCGTTGAAGAATGCCATCTGTTACAGTCTTGCCTGCTCTTGGTCACCGTAGCATGGTGACGCCACTTCTCCAAGGAGCCCAGGTTCCTTTTAGTAGAGAATAGTATTTAGAAGCTAAAATCTCAGGACAAAGTACACAGTGGCTCAGAGCTGGTGCCCGGGTCAGGCCTGGGGACAACTCAGCCAGCCCCTGCGTGCTTCCACACTCTCAACTGTGACATTAGGGATGACAGCACCCACTCCCCAGGGCATGTGCAGGAGAAGCACCGTCTGCCTGTGAGGCAGCTCTCACCACTTGAGCCGCAGCTCCCACCTCACCTGGTGCACCCCTGTGGGGTAGTCGGCCTTTATTCCTACAGAAACAGCTTCATTAGCCTTGGGGAACATTACAAACAGAAACCTCACATTCCCAGAGGCTGCCACTGCAGGGCCTGTGTGTACATCCTCCATCTTTCTGTGCCCACATGAGGACTTAAAAAAAAAAATTAGAACATTTTGTACATACTGTTCTACAAATGGATTTTTTTGTTGTTTTTTGAGACATGGCCTTGCTCTGTCACCTAGGCTGGAGTGCAGTGGTGCAGTCATAGCTCACTGCAGCTTTGAATTCCTGGGCGCAGGTGATTCTCCCACCTCAGCCTCCCACAGTGCTGGGATTCCAGGCGTGAGCCACCACACCCAGTCACACAACCTGAGTTTTTAAAGTCAGCAGTCACCACCTTTTCGTTCCAGTATATTTTTATTGCATTTAATACGCAGACTGTAGTTAGATTTCCCCAGCTGACTCGAACGCATGCTTCCAGTGGGTCCACCCAGCCTGCCTGGAGAGCTTACAACACATGCACGCTCCTGGGAAGGAGCATTTCCTCTTCCTGAGGGGGCATGTTGGGAGTGGAAACCCACCACAGCACAGGGACAGCTGGACAAGCTGTACTCGTCCTGTGGAGGTATTGGGGAGCCCCAGATGGGGAGGAGTTGGGGGGCCACGAGCCAGGGAAAGAAAGTCCACAGGCCAGTGTGGGGCTGGGTCCACTTTCCCCTGGAAGCTTCTGCTTTTTCCAGGGGCGGCAGTGAGAGGCTGGGAGTTTGGGCAGAGCTATGCAGACTCATCTCGGAGGACCGCAGCATCAGCCGGTGAACGGGAGCCCACCCTGTGTCCTTCCTGATCTCACTAAGGTGTCCTGGAATTGCTAGTGCCCCCCAGCCCCTGCCATAGGCCCAAATATTTCCTCTGTGGACAAAGAGCATGTCATCCTGGGGCTGAGGCTGTCTGCGTGGCTTCACAGACCATCCTTGCTGGGCACTGGGTTGAGGTCATCGGACATTTGGGAAGATGGAAAACCAAGAGAAGAAACACAGGAGCTGGACCTGATGGGAAAAAGGGGGAAGCATGGGCTTTACTGGGGTCTGTGAATTATTTAAAAGCCCCGGGGGAATTCCAGCACCAAAAATAACAGCAGCTGGAGCCAGACCCACTCATGGGTGTCAGTGAAAAATATCCTTTTATACATTCAGGCTGGGCATGGTGGCTCATGCCTGTAATTCCAGCAGTTTGGGAGGCTGAGGCGGTTGGATCACCTGAGGTCAGGAGTTTAAAACCACCCTGGCCAACATGGCAAAACTTCATCTCTACTAAAAATACAAAAATTAGCTGGGCATGGTGGCTCACGCCTGTAATCCCAGCTACTTGGAAGGCTGAGGTAGGAGAATTGCTTGAACCTGGGAGGTGGAGGTTGCAGTGAGCCGAGATCACGACACTGTACTCTAGCCTGGGTGAGAGAGGGAAACTTCCTAAAAAAAAAAAAAAAAAAAAAATGCAGTCTGAATTCAGTGATTAGTGAGAAGAAAATGCCTGGTCTGTACACGGGCTGTTGTGGGAACAGCAGGCCCAGCACTGACACATCTGTGGCCACCTGGGTGTAGTCCGCCTGTTGGCCCCTACAGCTTCTGGACCCAGTAGCCTCTTGAGTGGGCTTTGAAGCCCCTCTAGCCTTCTGGAAAGGTGGTGAGAACATCCCAGAAGTTCATTTTCCTTCCTGTTTTCAGCCTCTCTTGCCAGCGACTGACAGGCCGGTCCACAGTGAAGATGTGTGGTTGGCCAGGCACTGTCCTGGGCACTCCTGTCTGTCCCCTCACCGTCACCTCGTAAGACCACCAGCCCAGAGGTGGCCCCCACCGTTGAATGAGGAGGAGGCTCCTGACCCCCTTCCTGCCCAGGAGCCTGTGTTCCCACCTCCTCCAGCTGCTGGTCAGAGCAAGGTCTGAGCCTGGCCCTCACAAACATTGCCGCTAGAGGTATCAGCCCCGGGGGAATCTCTGGTCTAGTGTAGGGCTCAGCTCATGGCACCCCCCAGGCACTGTGTCCCCAATGACACTTCAGAGGGCAGACCCCCAAGAGCCCCTGTGGCACCAGGCTTGGGCATCACAGTTCTGACAGGAGCGAAGGGGGCCTGAGGCCAGACGTGTTTTCCACACAAAGATGATGTCCTCACGTTGGTTTGCCTGACTTGGCTGTCGCCTGGCATTGTAGCAGCATAGAAAGATCCACGTAGAAGGATCCACAGATGCTCTGCACAGGCTCACGTGCTGTCGCTGTCTTTGTTTAGTTAGAGGAGTGCTTGGACTTGGTGTCATTTTTGGACTCTGGACATTACAAAAGGAAGTAAGACGGCAGTTTGGGGCGGTGGTGGCCACCATGTTCTGCTGGGTGACGGCCTTGCAGTTCCACCTGATGTTCTACTGCACGCGGACACTGCCCAATGTGCTGGTCCTGCCCATGGGTACGTAGCTGCTGGTCCTGCCCGTGGGTACGTAGCTGCTGGCAGGCCTGCACACCCGTGGTGCTGGGTGGGAGCTCTCCTAAGTTGGGGGCTGTGCAGCCTATGGCAGTGCCTCCCTGGTGATGGTCACTCCCTGCTGAGTTCCTTGGGACTTGGGTCTGTGACCTGAAACTGGGCTGTTTTCCATGCTGGGTTGGGATACACTTTGTAGCCAACAGCATTTGGGGGTGTGGCTCTGAGCAGTTTGTTTTCTGGGATGTCTGTGTGGCTTTTGTAATAAGAAAAGGAATCATCCTTCACTTCCCTGGGTGTTTCCTGGGCAGGGGTGGGGGTGGGGCGTGTCTGACGAGCACCCTCTTGTACTGTCTTGCAGTCCTGCTGGCCCTCTCCGCCTGGCTGGGGCATGAGTGGGCCCGCTTCATCTGGCTGTCGGCCTTCGCCATCATCGTGTTCAGGGCAGAGCTGTGCCTGTTCCTGGGCCTCCTGCTGCTGCTGGCTTTGGGCAGCCGAAAGGTTTCTGTGGTCAGAGCCCTTCGCCACGCAATCCCAGCGGGGGTCCTCTGTTTAGGTAAGTCTCTTGCTGTGGGAGGCTTCTAACTGGATTTTGTCCTGCCTTGTTTTACAAAGGTCAGAGAAATTTGGGAGGTTTTCTTCCCCATAGAATAAAATTACCCTAACTTTAGTAGCGTTAAAACATCTCGGTCCTGGCCAGATGCAGTGGCTCACGCCTATAATCCCAGCACTTTGGGAGGCCGAGGCGGGTGGATCACGAGGTCAAGAGATCGAGACCATCCTGGTCAACAAGGTGAAACCCCGTCTCTACTAAAAATACAAAAAATACTAAAAATACCTGTAATCCCAGCTACTCAGGAGGCTGAGGCAGGAGAATTGCCTGAACCCAGGAGGCGGAGGTTGCGGTGAGCTGAGATCGCGCCATTGCACTCCAGCCTGGGTAACGAGTGAAACTCCATCTCAAAAAAATAAAAATAAAAACATCTCTGTCGTAAGCCCCCTGCGCCTTGGGAGCCCCTATTCACTAGTCTGTCCCTTGTCCTTGGCCAAGGCCAGGGGAGGCCACAGGAGCGGAGGGCGGCTGTCCCTGCACCAGGCCAAGGTGGTGGTTCAGGGCAGCGACATCATCAACACAGTGGGCGTCTTTCTTCTTTTTTCTTTGCTTTAGAGACAGAGTCTTGCTCTGTCACCCAGGATGGAGTGCAGCGGCATAATCACAGCCTATTTCAACCTTGAACTCCTAGGCTCCGGCAGTCTTCCCACCCAGCCCAACCTCTCTTATGTGAAAGCAACTTGTAGTTTCTGTGGTGATGGTGGCTGCACCGTGGCAGGGCGTTTACTGATGGTTGTGTTCTTGACTGAGAAACTCTGTTTAATTTTATCAGGGCTGACAGTCGCCGTGGACTCTTATTTTTGGCGGCAGCTCATGTGGCCAGAAGGAAAAGTGCTTTGGTACAACACCGTCCTGAACAAAAGCTCCAACTGGGGGGTATCCTTCAGTGTTCATGCAGGGGGGTGATGAGTGGGACCCCAGACACACTTCCTGGACCTCCTTGGGGGTATCCTTCAGTGTCTGTGCAGCGGGGTGATGGATGGGACACACAGCCACACCTCCTGAGATTCCCTGGGTGGTGGGAACAGCAGCTTCTTCCTTCTGTGCAGCCCAGCGTCAGGGTAAGGACGGAGCCCCTCCCTCTCACTTGCTCCTAGGAAATGCTGGCCGTAGGGGGTGAGGTCCCAGTTTCTCGGAAAATCTGTTTTGGTTTTTTTTTTTTTTTTTTTTTTTTTTTGAGATGAAGTCTTAGTCTGTCACCCAGTCTGGTGTGCAATGGTGTGATCTCAGCTCACTGCAACCTCCACCTCCTGGGTTCAAGTGATTCTCCTGCCTTAGCCTCACGAGTAGCTGGGATTACAGGCACCCACTACCACACCCAGCTAATTTTTGTATTTTTAGTAGAGATGGGGTTTCACCATGTTGGTCAGGCTGGTCTCAAACTCCTGACCTTAGGTGATCTGCCCACCTTGGCCTCCCAAAGTGCTGGGATTACAGGCATGAGCCACTGTGCTGGCCTGGACAATCTGCATTTAAAATGCACTTTCTTAGGAAGTATGTCAAACATACACAAGTAGATGAAACACCATAACGAATCCCTGACACGTGTGTTACCCGTGACCATCTGTTTCTACCAGTGAAGGAAACGGGGCAGAGACCAAACGTCTCGCAGCCCTGGCTGCCTTGGTCCTTCCCGGAGGGACCCAGGGCCCGAGTGGTGTCTGTGCACCCGAGCCGTGGCCTGGGCTGTGTCTCTTAGGAGGTGGCCCAAGACCCAAGTGGTGTCTGTGCACATGAGCCGTGGCCGGGCTGTTTCTCTTAGGAGGGGCCCAGGGCCTGGGGCCCGAGTGGTGTCTGTGCACCCGAGCCGTGGCCTGGGCTGTGTCTGTGCCCCCTGCTGTGCCTGGGCTGCATCCCTTAGCACAACTGTCTTCCAGGCATCTTCTCTGCCTTGACCCTGCCACCCAGCCCATGGGCGCATGTGTGGACAGGTGTGTGGGCAGGTGTGTGGCCTCCTTAACCCAGCCCACAGACCTCCCCGCTGCTGTGGTACTTCTACTCAGCCCTGCCTCGCGGCCTGGGCTGCAGCCTGCTCTTCATCCCAATGGGCTTGATGGACAGAAGGATGCACCCGTTGACAGTGGCGGCTTTCGGCTTTGTGGCCCTGTACTCCCTCCTGCCGCACAAGGAGCTGCGCTTCATCATCTACACCTTCCCCGCACTCAACATCACTGCCGCCAGAGGCTGCTCCTACCTGTGAGTGCTTTTTGTGATGTACACTTGTATAGTTTTGTTGGAAACAGGTTCACTGACGTACAGTGAGGGTATGTGTGTGTGTGTGTTTAATTTTTGAGACGGGGTCTTGCTCTGTCGCCCAGGCTGGAGTGCGGCAGTACAATCATGGCTCACTGCAGCCCCCAGCTCCTGGGGGTCAAGCCGTCTGCTGCCTCCACCTCTCCAAGTGCTGGGATTACAGGTATGAGCCACTGGGGCTGTTTTTTGAGATAAACACAGGACGTGTTTAGCTGCTTCTGTCAGAAGAGAGTGGCCCCGTCCTCTCTCTGCCTTAAGGACTGCGTGGGCTGGGACCAGCCTGGTGATGTGCTGTCAGAACGGTCTGCCTGGGTGGTCTCTGTCTTTGGTTAATCTGGTGACTGGTGGTCCCAGTCTCTGTCATGGGGGAAGGACACTCACACGTAGCAGCAGCAGAGGGCAGGGGCGGCCAGGCCTGGGAGGCTCTGAGGGCGACAGTTCAGGTGGAGGAAGGGCGTTCATGGCTGTCCTGACAGGTCCTTGGGATTGAGGGCGTTTGTCAAGGCAGGTTATCTGACTTGAAGAAGGGGAGGTCAGGGAGGTGCCCATGGCTGAGTGCAGAGGGCCCAGAGTGGCCCAGGTTTGGGGTCCTGTGGAGGGCAGGGGGCTTCCTATGGGAAGGGACCACCAGCAGCAGTGATGGAGGTGAAGCTGGGAGCCTGGAAGGGCATGGGGAGGACATTGCCTGGGCTGAGGGTGAGGTGGTCCCAGCATGGCTGCCACGCAGTGTTAGGAGCTTCAGGGAGCCGGGAGCATCCATCACTGCCAGGTCCTGTGGGTGCTGGGGAAGGGTCCAGGGCTGAGGCTGGCCAGCTCTGTGCCGGTTCAGAGCTCGCTGCCTTGATAGGAACAGGAGGCCAGCTCAGGCCATGCTGGGCACTGAGTGGGAGGGCTGGAGGGCCAGGGGGGTTGGGGCCTGAGGTGCAGAGAGGTGCCCACCCTGGCTGGAGAGGAAGTTCCTGATCCCAGGCAGCAGTCAAGTGCTTTCCCGTGACACCTGTTACAGGGGAGAGGATGGAACCCCCCCAGCTCCCACTGCCCTCAGGCCTGGGGACTCTTCCAGCTGCCATGGCCATGCCTGGGTTGGGGGGGCTCCTCTTGCTGCTGTGGCTGTGCCTCTGTGGGGGCTCCTCCAGCTCCATTGGCCATGCCTGGGTTGGGGGGCTCCTCTGGCTGCCGTGGCCGTGCCTTTATGGGAGCTCCTCCGGCTGCTATGGCCATGCCTGGGCTGGAGGGCTCCTCCAGCAGCCATGGCTGTGCCTCTTTTGGGGGCTCCTCTGGCTGCCGTGGTCGTGCCTCGGTGGGGGATTCTGGGGCACCTGCCTCTCTTTTCTGTGCCTTTCGTTCCTCTCATCTCAGGGGTCAGCTCTGGGCTTGAAGGGGAGCAGACCCCAGCCCAAGTCATGGAAAAGAGAGTGGGAAAGGCAGGGAAGGTGGTGCAGATGGGTTGTATTTGGACAGACTTTTCTAGCAGGGAAGAAAGTCCAGTGTGAACCAGACCCAGTTCTGCTGAAACCAAACGCAGGAGTGTCTTTGAGGCTTGGTGTGCTGGGCGTGAGGAGCTGCTCCATGCAAGGGCCCCCCACGGTGCCAGTCAGCCTTATCCAGAGGAGGACAAACTTGGGGCATCTTTGTGAGGGGGTGCAGGGTAGAGTAAGACCCCCTCCGAAGTCAGGTCCTCACACCGGCCACCCTGGGAGCAAGAACAGGCTGTCTCTCTAGGCGTCATGGCCCAGGGCCTTGAGATAGTCCTGGGGGGTGGAAGGTGTGTGATTGCAAGCTTCCTGCAGTGACCGTCCACTCCAGGTTTGGGCGGGAATGAGGGGGAAACGCCCTGGCTGTGCTGAGCTCTTTGGGGCAGGCAGGCACTTAGGAGGCTGGGGTCATCCTGGATGCAGCCTCAAGCTCAGGAACCGCACCAGAGTTTGTTCAAGGGTGTACTAGTGTGCTCTCGCAGTGCTATAAAGAAACATCTGAGACTGGGTACTTTGTAAAGAAGAGGCTTCATTGGCTCACGGTTCTGCAGGCTGTACAGGAAGCGTGGTGCTGGCCTCTGCTCAGCTTCCGGAGAGGCTTGGGGAAACTTCCCATCATGGCAGAGAGGGAAAGGGAAGTAGGCACATTTTATATGGCCAGAGTGGAGGAAGAGGGACAGGGAGGTGCCACTGACTACCGGGAGAACAGCACGAGGGGATGGCACTAATCCATTCCCGAAGGATCTACCCTGTGACCTAGTTACCTCCCACCAGGGTCCACCTCCAGCTTTGGGGATCACAGTTGGACATGAGACTTGGTGGAGACACAGACCCAAACCACAGCAAAGGGCAGGGCCTGTGGAGAAGGCTCCGAGGAGCCTGGTGGGTTTGGAAGAGAGAGTCTTGATCAGGGGTTCTGGGGCGTTTAGACCAGGGTTGGCAAGCTTTTCTGGTAGCTAGTAAAGAGTCTCACCTTTGTGGGCCACATGCTGTTCGCCAGCTGCTAACTCTGCCGTAGGAGCCTGAGGTCAGCACAGTCCATTAGAGAGAACCAGCGGCACCCTGTCGCACAGAGCTCACTCACAGGCCTGCTCGGAGTGGGCTTGGCCGGGTGGTACTCTGACCTACAGTCACTTGGGATTGTTTGAAAATATATTTTTAGGTGGGGCATGGTGGCTCACGCCTGTAATCCCAGCACTTTGGGAGGCCGAGATGGGTGGATCACAAGGTTAGGAGTTCAAGACCAGCCTGGTCAACATAGTGAAATCCCATCTCTACTAAAAATACAAAAATTAGCTGGGTGTGGTAAAGAGGCTGAGGCAGGAGAATTTCCTGAACTGAGGAGTAGGAAATTGCAGTAGGCGAGCTCATGCTGCTGCACTCCAGCCTGGGCAACACAGTGAGACTCCGTCTCAAGAAAAAAAGTTTTTTTTAATCTATTCTAAATTTTAAATTGGCACCTTGGGTAGAATTCCACAGACAATTCTTGAGGCCGTATCTTAACCACTTCCACAGGTTACTTCACAGAGTTACCACACAGGTGGTAAACTCTGCTTGTTCTGACTTGGTGAAGTTGAACAGCAGGTTATGCTCCTAATGTGTTTTGTGGATAGCATTAGATTAATTGTATTGCCGCCCTGTTCTGCTTATGATGCGTAACTGTTCTTTGTTCAGGCTGAATAACTATAAAAAGTCTTGGCTGTACAAAGCGGGGTCTCTGCTTGTGATCGGACATCTCCTGGTGAATGCTGCCTACTCGGCCACTGCCCTGTATGTCTCCCATTTCAACTACCCGGGTGGCGTGGCGATGCAGAGGCTACACCAGCTGGTGCCCCCCAAGACAGGTTGGTGCTGGGGCTCTGGCTGGGGACTGCTGTGGCTCTGACCAGGGGGATGGGATCTGACAGCAGGCGTGGTTTTCCTAGAGGTCCTTCTACACATTGACGTGGCAGCCGCCCAGACAGGTGTGTCTCGGTTTCTCCAAGTCAACAGCGCCTGGAGGTAGGACCCACACACGACACGACCCTCCTGGAGGCCACGTGAGGGCCCCTTGGCACCCAGGGGTCGGGGGACGGGGCGGTGCAGGGCAATGTGGACCTTGGACAGGACCTCTGGCTCTCATCCTGCAGGTACGACAAGAGGGAGGACCTGCAGCCTGGGGCAGGCATGCTGGCATACACGCACATCCTCATGGAGGCGGCCCCTGACCTCCTGGCCCTCTACGGGGACACGCACCGGGTCCTGGCCAGTATTGCAGGCACGACAGGTGTGAGTCTGAACCTGACCCAGCTGCCCCCCTTCAACGTCCACCTGCAGACAAAGCTGGTGCTTCTGGAGAGGCTCCCCCAGCCATCCTGAGGGGCACTGGGCAGCCCTCAGCAGCCAGAGGCCCTTCTGGAGCTGCTGTCGCTGCCAGTTTCCGCACAGTTGTGACAATTCAGAGAAGCAAATCGAAGCACTGTGCACATGGCTCCGACAGACACCAGAGCAGGGCCAGGGCCTCCTCTGCGGCCTCACCTGGGGCTGGCAGCGCCAGAGAATGAGGGGCCCAGGTCTTGTTGGCACCCCGGGAGCCACTGCCCAGGGTGATGGTGGCCTGCTCAGGCCTTCCTGTGGGTGGGCAGGGTGGGCGACACAGTTGTCTGGCATCCAGACCAAGTGCCATTTGTGACTAATTGGGAGCCCAGGCACCTGCCTGTGAGGCTACATGTGTCCTGGCCTTCCAGGGGGATCTGTATTTTGGCAGCACCCTGCACCTGCTGCCTGAGGGTCTCTTGGAGCATCTAAGATAGCACCCCCTCTCGGGAGACCATGGTGGCCTCGGCTGCCCCCCATCCACCACTGCCCCTGCAACTGGTGTATTCACAGGCATCCCATCTCCATCACAGATGAAATTTTAGGAGATAAACACGTTCAAAAAGGAATGAGATAAAAAGAATAAAGCAATAAAATGTTGATTGGAACCTCAAGATTACAGAAAAGGATGAGAATGGAGACTTTACTGTTTCCGTGTGATAGCTTATCACACGTTATTATTCCAGGTGCATGGTCAAGGGACAGTTTGGTGCTGTCAACTTCACTGACCATGCATGTGTAATGCACCAAAGTGCGTGTGATGCTGCTGGGCACTGGAAACAGGGGACTGGGTGCTGCTGCACACACATGCACACATGCTCACGTGCACACACCACACATGCATACATACCACACATGCCATGTGTGCACACACCATGCAAATACACACTTGTACACACCACACACCATGCACATATACACACATGCACACACCACACACGTACTACACACCATGCACACATGTGTGCATAAGGACACTTTCTTCCTGAGCTTTTTGAGAGTGTGTGACTGTTGGCCCAGGTGCCCTGGCACTGCCTCTCCACCTGGTGCCTCCTGTTTTCCCCACTGCATCTGGCGAACACCCGTGCAGACATTTTCTGACTCAACAGAGGCCAGATGGTGAGGCTGGAGAGCAGGCTTCCCGGCCCCTGAATCCCGCAGACAGGGCCCCTCCTCCCCTGTCATTCACCCGTGTGTCTCAGGGATTTACTGGTTATCTGCACTCATGTCGCTGGGCACATGTGGATTGCTTCCCCACTCTACTGGTCTGTGAGTCGCTCCTGTCTTTAATGATTCTGGTGTTCAGAGGTTTGCTGGTGGGAGCCCTGCCATGCTCCGCCGGTACGCTATGCGCTGTGCCCTCGCCTTCAAGCACCTCCTCATGACCAGGCATGGCAGGGTGTCCTCTTGAGCCTCTGGCCTCGGCCATTGCTCTGCGGAGCTTGGTCCCCTTTGGTAGGGAATGCATTAGAGACCGGGATCTCAATGCAGGTGTGCTCAATGCCACTGGGTGCCTGGGCTTTAGGCCCTTTCTATGGACAGGCTGGGGAGGACAGGGGTGTGCCGACATGCAGACACACACACATATGTAATATGTGTGTACAGATCTGAAACAGCACAGCTGTGCCCGCATCTCGGATTCCATCTCGCCTTGCAGGATTCTCCCTGCAATCCTGCCCCTCCATCCCCCCTCCCCCATCTCCACCCTGAGGACCGTGACCCCCATCAACAGCAGTGTCCTCATACATATCTGCTGGGGAGTTCCAGTGCTGCTTTGGCACAGGATTGCAAAAACAAACCTGCCATCAAGAGGTTGGGATTTGGGCGAAGTTCACTCCCTGCCCACAACCGCGGGTGCCGTTGCGTGCTGCGCTGATGAGTTCCTTGGATTGGTTTCTCCACCGGCAGTGTGGTGGTGCCTTCGTTGGAAATAGAGCTGGGTTCGCCCTTCCTGCTGGCTTTCAATCTTTGCCCCCCACCCCACGTCCCATCCTGTTGGGTTTGTAGAGCATGACAGTGCTTCTAGATGTCAAAACTCCTAAGGGCAGGTGCTGGGAGCCACTCCCTCCAATACCTCCTCCCCGCTTTTTGGTAATGAGCATAATTGTCTTGTGATCGATCTCACGTGTGTTTAATTTTGTAAAGATAATTGTATATACATGTGTTCCCTTTTTTCTTGGACGTAGCTTTCTTTACATGCTCCTTTGCACTTGGCTTTTTCGTTTGGTTTTAGAGATAGGGTCTTGCTCTGTAAGCCAAGCTGGAGTACAATTGTGCAATCCTAGCTCACTACAGCCTCCATCTCCTGTGCCCAAGCCATCCTGAGCCTCCCAAGTAGCTGGGACTACTACCAAGCTCAGCACATTGTTTAAAAGTTTCTTTTGTAGAGATGGGGTCTCGCTGTGTTGCCCAGGATGGTCTTGAACACCAGGCTTCAGGCAGTCCTTCTGCCTTGGCCTCCTCAAGTGCTGGGATGATAGGCGTGAGCTCCCAGCCACACACTGGTTTGTTCACGTAACAGTCGCTCCTGGAAATTGTGGTGTCACTTCTTGAGCTACTCTCCTCTGTGTGGACAGTTTGCTTGTTTCCAATATTTTGTAAATTCAAATAGTGCTGCCATGCATGACGGAGTCCCTTTGTATTTTCATTTGTTTGAGGCAAGTCTTCAGGGTGAATTCAGAGGTAGGCAGCACTGGGCTGCAGGGGTGACTGCACCTGGGTTGTGTGGGGTATTGAGACGTTCCCTCCACAGGGTGGTACCATTTTGCAGTCCCACAGGGTGAGTGGTGGTTCAGTGTAGTTTTGATCATTTTTCTTATGAGTAAAGTTGAATGTCTTTTCATAGGTTATTTTTTTTTTTGTATTTTTTGTAGAAATGGAGTCTCACTGTGTTGCCCAGGCTGGTTGTGAACTCCTGAGCTCAAATCTTGGTCTTCCAAAGTGCTGGGATTACAGGTGTGAGCCACTGTGCCCAGCTAGGGTTAATTTTTTAATATGTTTTGAGGTATGGGTCAACTTTTTTTTTTTGCCTATGAATATCCAATTGTTCTGACACCATTTTGTTGAAAATGTTATCCTCAGTGGTGCATGCCTATAATCCCAGCTACTAGGGAGGCTGAGGCAGGAGGATCCCTTGAGCCCAGGCAGTTGAGGCTGCAGTGAGCTGGGATTGCACCACTGCACTCCAGCCTGGGTGACAGAGAGAGACCTTGTCTCTTAAGAAATAAATAAAAGATTGTTTTTTCACCACTGAATTGCCTTTGCACTTTTCTCAAAAAATTCACTCAGCCAGGCATGATGGCTCACGCCTGTAATCCCAGCACTTTGGGAGGCCAATGTAGGTGGATCACCTGAGGTCAGGAGTTCAAAACCAGCCTGGCCAACATGGCAAAACCTCGTCTCTACTAAAAATACAAAAACGATGGCCAGGCACGTTGGTTCACACCTGTAGTGCCAGCATTTTGGGAGGCCAAGGTGGGCGGATCACAAGGTCAGGAGATGGATACCGTCCTGGCTAACACGGTGAAACCTTGTCTCTACTAAAAATACAAAAAGTTAGCTGGGTGTGGTGCCATGCACCTGTAGTCCCAGCTACTCAGGAGGCTGAGGCAGGAGAATCACTCGAACCGGGGAGGCGGAGGTTGCAGTGGGCCGAGATCACACCACTGCACTCCAGCCTGGGCAACAGAGCAAGACTCCATCTCAAATATATATATATATATATATGCAAAAGTTAGCTGGGCATAGTGGTGGGCACCTGTAATCCCAGCTACTTGGGAGGCTGAGGCAGGAGAATCACTTGAACCCAAGAAGCAGAGTTTGTAGTGAGCCGAGATCATGCCACTGCACTCCAGCCTGGGCGACAAGAGCAAAACTTCATCTCAAAAAAAATAAATAAATAAAAATCAATTTGCTCAAGAGAATAAGAAAACAAACCACAGACTGGGAGAAAATATTTGATATTTGTGAAAGGCATATCTAATAAAGAACTGAGTCAGGTGCAGTGGCTCACGCCTGCAATCCCAGCACTTTGGGAGGCTGAGGAAGGAGAATTGCTTGAGTCTAGGAGTTCAGAAATCAGCCTGAGCAATATTAGTGATACTCCATCTCTACAAAAACAACACAATATTTATTCAGGCATGGTGGTGCATGCCTGTAGTCCCAGCTACTTGGGAAGCTGAGGCAGGAGGGATCGCTTGAGCCCAGGAGGTCAAGGCTGGGCAACAGAGTGAGACCCTGTCTCACAAAAGAAAGAACAGGTATCCAATATATACAAAGGACTCTTAAAACAACAAGGAAGCAATGTGATTGAAAATGAAAACTGAACACACCCCTCACCAAAGAAGATACGCAGATGGCAATTGAGCATATACAAAGATGCTACTTGTTAATGGTTATTAGGGAATAGCAAATTAAAACAAAAATGAGACACCACTACATACCTGTTAGGATAGCTAAAATCCAAAATGGGTAACACCAGGTGCTGGTGAGGATGTGGAGCAACAGGAAACACAAAATACATCGAAAACTTAAGCAATCGAGTAGATCAAGCAGAACTGCAGAACTTGAAGATGGGTCTTTTGAAATAACCCAGTCAGACAAAAATAATGAAAAAAAAGAATAAGAAACAATGAGCAAAACCTTTGTGACACATGGGACACCCTAAAGAGTCCAGAGTTTTGAATTGTTGGGGCCCAGAAGGCAAAGAGAGAATGAAACGTTAGAAAACCTGTTTAACAGAGTAATAATGAAAACTTCCTGAGTTTAGCGGGATATTTACACATCCAGCTGCAGGAGGCCCTGACAGCTCCAGACAGACACATGCAAAAAGGTCTTCCGTGACACATTGTATTCAAACTGCCTAAAGTCAGACACAGAATCCTAAAATTAGCAAGAATAAAAAAACAGCTAGTCACATATAAAGAAACCCCCATCAGACTAACAGCAGATTTCTCAGCAGAAACCTTACAGGCCAGGACAGAATGGGATGATACATTTGAAGTGTTCAAAGACCACTGGGTCAATGAAGAACAATGCAAAGAACACAGCTCTGAAATGCTGTTGGAACAGAAAGAACTGGGACTGACAGGAGAGACAGACAATCGTAGTGAGAGCTCTGAACACTTGCCTGTGGCAGTGGCAGTGTTGGCCATGGCAGCAAATCCAGCCGGGGGTGGGTGCGCTGGCTCACACCTGCAATCCCATCATTTTGGGAGGCCACGGCAGGTAGATTACTTGAGGCCAAGAGTTTGAGGCCAGCCTGGCCAACATGGCGAAACCCCATCCTGAGATGGGGATGACCATTTGGTCACTGAGAAGTCCCTCCACTCTGATGAGTCCTCCTGCCTGAGGCCGTGCCATTTGATGTGAACGGCCCTAGAAGACGTGCGGGTGGTGCTCTGGCTCCTGGCCTCGCATGCACTCTGCGTCCTTGGACTTGATGTGTGAGTCCTGTGAATGAACACAGCTGGGGTTTGTCACTGTATCCAGTCTCACACACTGAATCAGAGTATGCATTCCACTTACAGATAATATGCTTGCAGATACTCTTGGTTTAAACCTACCATTTGCCTGTCTCCTGTGTGTCCCACCTGGTTATTTTTTCTTTCTTCTTTAGGATCAGTGAAAGTAGTTATTACTCCAATTTCCTCTTTATCAATTTCCTGAACATGTTTATTGCTTTCAGTGGTTACCCTAGAGATCACATGTCTGATGTCAGAATCTACTTATTTGTTTAGAGATGAAGTCTTGCTCCATTGCCCAGGCTGGAGTGCAGCGGCACCATCTCAGCTCAGTGCAACCTCTTCCCCCTGGGTTCAAGCGATTCTCATGCCTCAACCTCCTGAGTAGCTGGGAGCACAGGCACACATCACACCTGGTTTTTAATTTTTTTAGTAGAGACAGGGTTTCATGTTGGCCAGGCTGGTCTTGAACTCCTGACCTCAGGTGACCTGCCTGCCTCAGCCTCCCAAAGTGCTGGGATTATAGGTGTGAACCACTTGGCCTGGCTCAGAATCTCCTTTAAATCCATAAATCCGTACAGGACAGTGCAGTCTTTATTTCCCTCCCACCTTTTGTGCTTACCCTCCATGTATCATAAATCTACCAGCATTTTAAACCCTAAGAGATAGTTTTAGGCAGTCCACTATTTATTTAGCTTTCCCGTTTCCATTCCTTTCAGGAGTCTTCCTCTTTCCTTCCCACATCAAGTGTCCACCTGGAGAATTCCCTCCAGGATATATTTTAGGCCTGGTTGGCTGGTGACACATTTAAAAAATTTTTTATTTTGCCCCAAAACTTAAGTTTACCCTCACTTTTGAAAAATCTTCTCATTGGGTATAAAAATCTAGATTGGTAATTATTTCCTTTCAGCATTTTAAAGAAGCCACTCCACTGTTCCAACTATTTGTTTAGAGAGTCAGCTGCCAGCTTTATTGCTCCTCTGAAGGTCAAAGTGTCTCTTTCTCTTTGGGTTTCAGCACTCTGCCGTGATGTGCCTAGGTGCAGGTTTTTTGTTACTCCTAATTTATCCTCTTTGGGGTTCAAAGATACTGACACCTGTGGGTGACATCCCAACAGCTGTGGAAGGCCTTCAGCTGTGATCTCATCCAAACAGCGCTCCACCACTTCGCTCCCCTATTCTGGGACTCCCGCTGGCTGTGTGCTGCACCTTTCTCTTGCACTGTGTCTCTCAGGCACTTTTCACCTCTGTGAAATCTAATGTCTTCTACTGGCCTGTCTCACAACTCAGTCATCCTTTCATCTCTATGTCTAAGGCAATATTAACTACGTCCAGGGAACTCCACTCCTCATTGCTTTTTTCAGCTTCAGCATGTTTACAGATTTACCCTCTGGTGGCATTTCCACCTTCTCATTCATATTGAATGTATAAATCATCAAGTCCATGTCTGAAACCCCGGTATTTGGATCACGTGTGAGACTATTTCTATTGTCTTATCCTCTTTCCTTTTAGTCATTTGGTCCTTTTTTTTCAGTGTGTCTCATCAATTTTTATGAGAGTCAAACTTTATCTGTAAAGTTACAGGAGCTCTGATCTTTTCACTGAAAGAAAATTTAGTTCTCTGGTACAAAGGTGAGACAGGGCAGATCAACCTGATGCAGCCAAGGCTGAGGTGACTCAAGCCACGTCCAGACTTGGTGAGGGCTGGGCCCTCTCCAGTTTGCCCTTCAGGGGTCTCACTGGAAACCTCAGTGTTTTCTCAATGGCAGGCACTGAATTCCTACGTTTTGTCTCTCTTGCCGAAGGATGTCTCGGCTTTCCAGGCTTTTGCTGCTATCTTTGGGTTGTTTTTTTTAAGATGGGGTTTCACCATGTTGGTCAGGCTGCTCTTGAACTTCCGACCTCAGGTGATCCGCCCACCTTGGCCTCCAAAGTGCTTGGATTACAGGCTGAGCCACCACGCCTGGCCTATCTTTGGGTTTCTAAGCCTCCTGCCTTGAGCACAAGCAGCCACCAGGAATGGATACCTGCTGCAGGGTAAGCTGCGCTCACAGTTCTCTGAGGCTCCGGCGTCCTGCAGGGAACTCCCACCCTTCTCCGAGGCACCGGCATCCTGCAGGGAACTCCCACCCTTCTCCGAGGCTCCAGCGTCCTGCAGGGAACTCGCACCCTTCTCTGAGGCTCCGGCATCCTGCAGGGAACTCGCACCCTTCTCCGAGGCTCCAGCGTCCTGCACGGAACTCCCACCCTTCTCCGAGGCTCCGGTGTCCTGCAGGGAACTCCCACCCTTCTCCGAGGCGCCGGCGTCGTGCAGGGAACTCACACCCCTCTCCGAGGCGCCGGCGTCCTGCAGGGAACTCCCACCCTTCTCTGAGACACCAGCGTCCTGCAGGGAACTCCCACCCTTTTCCGAGGCTCCAGTGTCATGCAGGGAACTCACACCCTTCTCCGAGGCGCCGGCGTCCTGGCCAACACAACAGCTTCTGTGTTGCTGCTGGTCTCCCAGCCCAGTGACACCACGTGGGCTCTGGATGCCACCTTTCAGGCCTTAGAGCAGGACACCAGCAAATGTTGTATTGACACCTACAATACGAAAAAATGTTGTGAATGCAGAACTCACCCTTATCCAAGGCTCAGCTCACTGGGATTTTGTGTCCTCAAATCCTAGCTGTCTTAATTGCTCACTCATGTCTTCAAAAGCTTTTTAGAAATAGATTTTATATGGCCTTGATAGTTCTTGGGAAGGGTTTGGTTTAATACCAGTTGCTGCCTCATAGAAGTGGAAGGGAAAGGAATTTTAGCTTTAAATGAAGTTCCATGTTTTATTATTGCAGGAGTGGTCTTCAAAAAGTTCATGGATTTCAAAATTCTTCGCACCAAAATAAACTCATACTAACTTGTTATAACATGTCTGAATAGCTCTGGTTTGAGGCAATAAGACATCAGTTTGAAAAGAACTCCTACCAGAACATGAATTCTGCTAAAACTGAAGGGAAAGCAAGCATGAAATCTGCAGTGAACCTTGGGTGAAAGAATGGTGAAAATCGCTGATGCTTTACGAAGTGTATGAGGACAGTGCCCTGAAGAAATCAGCAGTGTATACGTAAACACCTCGTTTTAAGAAGGGACGATGATGAAGATGAAGACCACAGTGGCAGCATCTCCATCAGTTTGCAAGGAAAACGTTCATCTTGTTCATGCTTTGATTAAAGAGGGCTGATGATTAGCAGCACAAAAAAAAAAAAAAAACCAGCCAAGCCCACAGACACCTCAACGGGTTCAAAACTGAGGCTGAGCCAGCTTTCCACTCGACGGGTGCCAAAACTGGTGCCAGATCAGCTGCACACAAGAGCAGGGCTTTCAATGGGACTTTTAAACAAGTGTCATCAAGACCCCGAAGCATTTCCTTGAATTGTAGCAGGAGATTGGACAGGGCTTTACCAGCACCATCCTCAAGACAAACCACAGCCAAAGCAATGGCTGCCAAGAGGTGGGAGTGGCCCGGCCAAGGCGGATGTGGACAAGTCAAGAGCCAAGGTCATGGCAACAGGAGCATTCTTGGGATGCTGAATGCATTTTGCTTGTTGACTTTATGGAGGGCCAAAGAACAATAACATCTTATTGAGAGTGTTTTGAGAAAGTTAGTCAAAGCTTTAGCAAAAAAAAAAAAACAAAACACCAAACACCCGGAACACCCCACCAGTGTCTCTCCACGATGACAGTGCTCCTGGCTCATTCTTCTCATCAAATAATGGCAGTTCTTCAGTAGTTTTGTTGGGAAATCATTAGGCATCCACCTTGCAGTCTGATTTCACTCCTGACTTGCTTCCTCATTTAAAAAATCCTTAAAGGCACTCATCTTTCTCTTCAGTTAATGTTAAAAAGGCTGCACTGACATGGTTGAATTCCCAGCACCCTCAGTTCTTTAGGGATGGACTAAATGGCTGGTGTCACAGCTTACAAAAGTATCTTGACCTTGATGGAGCTTACACTGAGAACTACAAACGTCTGTTGGTGCTGGTGGCGGTGGTAGTGGTTTTAAGAGACAGGATCTTGCTCTGTTGCCAGGCTGGAGTGCAGTGGTGTGATCATAGCTCACTGTGACCTCCAACTCCTGGGCTCAGGTGATCTTCCTGCCTCTGCTTCCCAAGTAGCAGGGACTACAGGCATGCACCACCACACCTGGGTAATTTCCTGAACTCCTGGCCTCAAGCAGTCCTCCCACCTCAGTCTCCCAAAGTGCTGGGATTACAAACATGAGCCACTGTGCCCAGCCAAGAAATAAAGTTTTTATTTTTTGTTTTTATCTTTTACTTCAATATTTCCACACACTTTTAAAAGTCCCTTCATGTAATGACCGGTAATTTCATTCACTGAAGAGACAGTTCCGAGGCTCATACAAAGGGCTTTTTATCTGAGACAGACCTGAGAAAGTTAAGGAACCTGCCTAAAACATAATTTCCAGGCAGGAAACAGCAGCTAGGGCTTTGAATGGAGAGGCAAGGGGGAATGGCTAAGAAGAATAAACACAGTTTCTAGTTGCACCCACAGTCCCCTCATTCAAGTACAGTGAGGTCATGTGACTGTCAGCGCAGGGCCTCTTGTCCATCTTCCTGCAGGACTGTCAGCAACTGGAGGGCACGGTCCGACCATCTCAACAAACGTCCACCAGCCGAATGAGCGGAATGTACGACTCTCCTAGTGTCACTCAAGAGGGGCCATGTTTTCTGTTGAGTACAGCAGCCCTCATTTTCTCTGCAGTCCCCTTTTATACAGTGACTCAGACACTTCAACTAAAAATACAGCAGCATGAGGCTGAAGGTTACAACAAACATAAAGGCCGCCAGCTCGAGGACCAGCAAACTTGCTGTTCTGGAAAGCGCCACACCGTATTTTCAGCCCTGTTTGGCCCTTTCAGTGGGCCTGTGGTCTCTGTCACACTACTTGGTTCTCCTGTCACAGCCTGAAAGTAGCCAAGACAACATGTTAACGGCTGTGTGGCCAGGCGCGGTGGCTCACGCCTGTAATCCCAGCACTTTGGGAGGCCAAGGCGGGTGGATCTTGAGGTCAAGAGATCAAGACCATCCTGGTCAACATGGTGAAACTCCGTCTCTACTAAAAATACAAAAAATTAGCTGGGCATGGTGGCGCGTGCCTGTAATCCCAGCTACTCAGGAGGCTGAGGCAGGAGAATTGCCTGAACCCAGGAGGCGGAGGTTGCCGTGAGCCGAGATCACGCCATTGCACTCCAGCCTGGGTAACAAGCGCGAAACTCCATCTCAAAAAAAACAAAACAAAACAAAAAAACGGCTGTGACTATTCCAAGAAAATTTCACTTAGAAAAACAGGCAGAGGGCCAGACCGGCCCATGGCCGCAGCCTGCCAATCCTGGAGTAGACAATCTGCTCTGAGAGACCAGAGACTGTCCACGGAAATCTCTGCTGCGCCCCAGGAACCAGCCCAGGCCCTGCAGAAAGGAGGGCACTTCCTCTCAGTTGAATGACTGAGTGGATGTGATTCTGCTACAGTTAGCTGTGCTGGCTTGTTTTACAGAGAAAATCCATGAAGCTCAATATCCCAAAATTCTAAGGATATTACCACCCCAAATACAATCTTAAGAAATACAGGACTGCAAGCCAGCTGTGGGCACACCTGAACAAGAACTGTGGCTGCCTCCTATTCTGGGCACAACCCCTTCTATCCCAGGAGGGCACTGGCCAGGGCTGCTGGCGAGGGCGAGATGGCTGGGCCATGGACCCCAGTTCCTCTGCAGCCTCACAGGCACTGTCCCCAGTCAGCACTCCTGGGCACTCACAGTAACAAGTGCACAGCAGACGGGTGAGAGGGCATCAGGAAGGACGTGCAGAAGCCTGCTGCAGCCAAGACAACCCTCGGGGCTGGCCACCAGCTCCTGCATTCTGCCATCACCTCAACACGAGACCTGGAAAGTCACTGCCATTACCACGCTTGGAACTGCTGTTGTAACAATCACACCTCCACTTCCCCCAAGACCTGTCTGGGGTTAAGGTGGAATTTCAAATGCTGCACAAGTATGGGCCACAAAGAATATGCCTGTTTTATTAGCCTAAAAATAAAAAGCCAGTGTCTGCCAGCAATAGAAAATTGCAAATAAAAAGTTTAATTTCAGAAACTGAGTTCACCATTTATAAATACACTAAAACATAGTGGATGCAAATTGAGATTAAGCGGAGGTACAGTATTTCAGCAAAACAACTTTACTAAAAGGCTGTAGGCAAACGAGTGATTTGTCTAACCCAGAGCATTTAACTGGCTTAAAACGAGAAAATGAATCTTTTTCCTCTGAAGACATAATTGTTAAAAGAATCTGATAACTGATACTTCATTCTGATGTCCTTGGGATTCTAAAATATCCCAGCGATGGCTGAATCTTCCCTATCATTAAAAAAAAAAAAAAAATCTAACACCTAAGGCTATTCTTACAACTGTAACATAACAAGCTTCTTCCCTGTTAATAAGCCATCTCTTCTAAAAAAATTTTACACAAATTTCATCAAACAAGGGGTCAGTGCACACATTTTGAAAGACAACTTCAGAGCGTGGAGATGCTGAAGCAGAGGCGTGGGGGTCTCAGCAGGGACACCTGCCGTCAGCGTGTCATTGAACGCACTGGTGAGGTGATGAGCACAGTTACAGACGGATCACGTTTCAGAGGAGCTGATGAGAGACAGTCGGGGTATCTCTGAGTTAAATGACCATGTAAAGCCTGAATGCAGAAACTTGAAACGGGAACGTTCTCAAAATAAACTCCATGAAACATCTAAGTTCCGTTTCCAAATGCCACGTCTCTGTCGTAGAGTAAACAGTTACCTTCCAGAATATTATCTGTACTCCGCGATATACTTTAGAACCTGCAGTTAGAAACTGCTCAGTCAGGATGGCTTGACCTCCACCTCCTATTTACAGATTTTCATAGCCACAAAAGCTATTCTGCCGCAATTAAAGCAATGCTTAACTAAAATACAGTACCTGATTTGTGGTTTGTACACAATTGAGTAAAAAGCCTACAGGATAAAACTGTTTACATCTTGTCATTCTAGTAAAACAAATTACTAACCCAAAACTTTAAAAAACTTTACAGTTATGAATTAAAATCTAGTCGTCATGTTTCATAGTTGACAGGACAACCTATTTCTAGTGGATGTCTTAAAAAACACACCACGAAACCTGGCCTGAAGGAGGAGGGGTAAGGCACGTGGAGACACTGGTGAGCTGGAGGGCGGTCCTGAGAGGGCCTGGGCAGAGCGATCAGCAGCCCCGGTGCAGGCTGCTCATGCTGGGGCAGCCACGCCTCTGGCCTGGAGGTGCCGTCGTGGGTTTCAATACTGAAAGTATATTAAGGGGAGATTCACTTTTAAAAAGATAAGTTTTTCAAAATGTTCCATCATGAGCCTGGATTGGCCAAGGCTACCGTGCTCCGTGGGCGTGCTGAACAGCTTTTCCGAAGGGACAATGCTTGGGGGGCAGCCCAGGAATCTGACGGCCAGCGAGGACAGCCCTGGCCAGGACGCCTTCTTCAGGTTCCAGTAGGTGAGCGGGTCACAGCTGTGTTCAAGCACTTCCTCCTCCAGATACGCGAGCACCATGTCTTCAGGCAGCGTTCCTCTCGGGTCTCTCTTTACCTTGGCCACCAGTGACCACAGGTTCTCCTCTGCGGCAGAGTCTTGCGACGGGGAGCCAGCATCACACCCGTGGGAGGCAGCCGCGTCCTCTGAGGTAGAATTCATGAGTTCAAGTTCCCTGATTAGATCCTGCTTGTACTGCTCCACCTCCTCCTCCGTGAACAGGGAGGCCTTGTAGCGAGGGTCCAGCAGCGTGGCGAAGACGTACCGCGGGTCGTGGAGGGTAGCGGACAGGCGGCTCACCATGGCCTCCTTAAGAGCGCGCAGCATGGTGTCAATGCCCATGGTCTCCTGGAAGAGCATCTCCACCTTCCGGTTGAGGATGTGCACCATGGGGATGACCTGGCTGAGGGTGGACATCTGCGTGCTCATCTCCCTGCTGGCAGCCTCGAAGGGCTTCAGCGCACGGCACACGGACTGCATGACCTCCCACTGGTCGCAGCTGATCAGCTCTCGGAAGTTGCACTCCACAGACATCTCGTTAACGGCCCTTTTCTGCTCAATGAGCCGCTCCAGCATGTGGAAGGATGTGCTCCACTTGGACGGGACGTCCTGGAGGAGGTGGTGCTGCGGCAGTGCGTACTGCCTCTGCAGCTCTGCCAGCTTCTCCTTCGCTTTGGGCGACCGGTGCACCCGCTCGCAGATCTTGCGGGCGATACTCAGCAGGTTCTGCACCATCCTCTGGCTCTTGATGGCCTCGCTGACGATGAGGTTCACCGTGTGGCTGAAGCACTGCACGCTCGAGTGCTCCCCCTCGCTCAGCGTCTTCCCGATGCTGGGGTTGTCGGTGACGGTGATGCCCACCTGAAGGCCAGTGGAGGTCACCCAGGCTTCCCACCAGCACTCCAGCTGCTTCTGGATGCTGCTGCCACTGTAGTCACAGTCCACCTGGGACACGTCCAGCAGCGCCGAGCAGTGGTGGTCCTCACAGCGCGGCCGGACCGACGACTCGAAGGAGACCCAGTGGGCCGTGAGGGTCAGGTACTCCCGGGTCTGGTTGCTCATCCATATTCCAGACGTGAAGTGGATCACGCCACTCTCAGCTTCCTTCAGGTGGGACATGATGATCTGTCTCACATTGTCATACATCCCTGGGATAGCTGTCCTGGAGAAGTAGGAAGGGGAGGGGAGGGAGTACTGAGGTTTCAAGTATTGGAGCAGCCTGTTAAAGCCAACATTGTCTACAAAAGAATACGGCTGGAGGTCCAGTGCAATCATTTCAGCTATGAGACTGGTGATTTTTTTGGCAACTGGGTGAGAATCATAAAACTTCTCATTGGTGTAATCAGAGGAGGAAGCACCTGACAGTTCTGTGCCCAGCGGCACCCGGATGTCTGGAGAGGGGGCCCGAGCCGTCTCTGAGGCGTCGGCTTTCAGGACGTTGCTATGGAAACGCTGTAAGTGTCTCAGGAGACAGCTGGTACCCAGGTTGGTCGGCTTCTTCCCCCGGCTGATGGTCCGGCCACAGTGCAAGCACACGACTTTTGTGGAGTCAGCGGAGCAAATAGAAAAATGATTCCACAGCTTTGAGGTCTTCTTGCCGTTAGCAGGAAACAGGACTTGATTGCTTTTTGGGACCATTGTCGGCAAGTCAGTCAATCTGGAAGAAGAACTTTCTGCAGAAGCCAACGTGGCATATGGAGAATTTGCCAGACTCGCACCTAGAAAGCCCTTCTGACTCCCAACAACTTCCGGATGGCGCCTGTAGAGATGCCTCATCAGGCAGCTGGTGCCCACGTCGCCCTTCTTCCCCCGGCTGATGACGCAGCTGCAGTACCGACACACAGCCTTGAGGCTGTCCGTGGGGGCCAGGGAGAAGTGATGCCAGACTTCTGACTTCAGCCTCTTCATGACCTTTTTATTCTGCTGGAAGATGGCACCTGATTCAAACAATCTAGGACTCAACCCGTCAGCCTGCTGCTTCTCGGGAGAGGACACTGAGGCCTCCCCCACGTCGTCGGAGGACGAGAATGCCGCTGCATCTTCCATCAGCGTATCTCCAGGGTTCAAGTGAGACTGCAGGTCCTCAGCCAGCCTATCAGGGGAGGAGGAGGCCGAAGGGGACTCTCTGACCAGCTTGACAGGAGACGAGGACACAGAGCTGAGGTCCCCCTCGGGTGGCAGCAGGGCAGGCAGCAGGGTGGGAGGGGTGGAGTACAGCGGCGGGATGCCCGCACCCCCGTTCTCCTGTAGCACGATGGCTCGGTGCGCCCTCCACATGTGCCTGATGAGGCAGCTGGTGCCCAGGTCCTTCCCGTTCTTCCCCCGGCTGAACTCATTCATGCAGTGGATGCAGACGGCTTTGGAGCTGTCCAGTGGTGACAGGTAGAAGTGCTTCCAGACAGCCGACCTTCTCCTAGACCCCGATGTGCTCTTCGGAAGTGGAAGGCTCTTCTCTGATGCATTCTCTGCAGGTTCATCGTAATGGAGCGCAGGGAGATGAGGAGAGGACCCCAGCAGTGCTTCTTCTCTGCTGCACTTCTCCGAAATGGACACGTCGGAGGAGATTTCTTCAGAAGAAACTACAGACACAGACTCCTCTGTGGTTCGGTCGGGGGACGGGATCTTAGATGCCACTTTCTGAACAAGCTTGAGGGGTGAGAGGATGGTGCTGAGGTCGCCGGCATCCGCAGGCTGCGGGGGAAGCAGGAGCGAGGGAGAGGGGAAGGAGGACACGGCGGACATGCTGCCGTTTTCCTGAATGAGCACGGTCGGGTGTGCGCGCCTCACGTGCCTCATGAGACAACTGGTGCTCAGGTCTTTCTCGTTTTTGCCTCTGCTGAACTCCTTCACACAGTACATGCAGATTGCTTTAGTGCTGTCTCGGGGAGAGATAAAAAAATGCTTCCAGGCCGGAGACTTCTTCCTGGAGCTCATGTTCCGGCTGGAAAGCAGGCTCTGGGTCACGGCCTCCATGGCCACGTCGTAGAGGGTGCTGCTGTACTGGGAGAACAGGGCGCCATAGTCGTCCTCGCTCTCTGCAGACAAGCACTTCCCCAGGGGCTTGCAGCCACAGCCCGGCCCGTCCAGGCCCATGCGCTCCCCACTGCCGTCAGTCTGCTTCGTGCCCTGCTCGCGTTTACAGTCCATTCTTTCCAAACCGTCGGGAGGAATTCCATCATCATCCTCCTCTTCTATCTTAAACTTTATTTTATCAGAAACGAAATCACTGTCCTCCCTGGGACAAGTTTGCGAGTTACCCTCCATGACTGACCATCACTACTCCCGCTGCTGCACCATGTATCTCAGGTTAATAACGGATCCAAGTGCTCATTTCTGCTCCTGAATGTAGATTATCTTCACTTTCTCATCATAATTCCATCTTCCAGGATGCTTCTATAAATATGGCTAATCATAAATATTCCTGTAACTCACTGTCTTAGGGCACAGATCACTGCTCTCCGGGAGTCCAGCTACTAAATACTTCGTGCTGTAGACAGCCATGTGAGCAGTGGGGGCCAGCTTCTGCTCTTGAGGACAGCATCTGCCTGGTCATCTTGAGGCACACACGTGGCCCTTGTGCGCTAGCTGTAAAGAGATGAAATCCAGTTAAACACAGAACCACATCACACGTTTTAACCTCTACTGTCATGACCACGTCAGCCTCAGTATGTACAGAAAAAAATTATAATGGAAAACTAGAATAAAAAAACGTGTTCTCTGACTTCCTACAATCCATTTACACAATGAAAATACCCTAAAATAGAAAAATAAGCAAAAAATAGAGACATGAAATAACATGCAAGTAGCCTATTTATTAATAAAGGATCGGGGAACATGGATTAAAACCTAGAGTGGTAGAAAGAGGTTGTTTCATCTAGAACTTCTGCCCTCAGCCTTCAAACAGGTCCTGAGACCTGCGTAGCTGCTGCTGAATCCCTTGAAACCACTTCACCCTACCTTGCTAGAGGACCTAATACATGAAATACGCATTTAAAAATAGCTAACGTATGACATAATCAACCCAGACTAAACACCGAACATAAAAAGGACCATGGTGGCTCCTGCATCCAAGAATGGAATGACTGCCGTGGCTCGCGCCTGCCATCCCAGCACTTGGGAGGCCGAGGCAGGCGGATCATCGGAGGCTGGGAGTTCGAAACCAGCCTGACCAATATGGAGAAACCCCATCTCTACTAAGAATACAAAATCAGCCGGGTGTGGTGGTGCATGCCTTTAATCCTAGCTATCTGGGAGGCCGAGGCAGGAGAATCGCTTGAACCTGAGAGGTGGAGGATGCAGGGAGCTGATGTCGCACCATCGCACCCGAGCCTGGGCAACAAAAGCGAAACTCCATCTCAGTTAAACAAAAAAAAAAAAAGAAAAAGGAAAGATGTCCTGTGGGTGTAACGCCCCTTCCAGCCGGTCCTTCTGTCACCCATTCAGTGGCCTGTCCCCGAGTGACCCTGAACTGTGCTGGAACATGACGGAGAGGACAGTCGTGGGACGTGACGTCCGAGAACCATGAGATTGCAGCGATGGCGTTACGAAGACATGAGCGAACAGGGCAGGAGCTGTGAGGGTGTAACTGAGCTGAAGACTGGATGACAATGAAGTCGCGGGGGTAGGAGGCGAGCAGTTTAGCAAGGAACTAAAAACAAGTAGCAACAAAAAGGCATTTTCAGTAATATGGCAGCATAAATACGCCACAACATAACCAGACTCTAGAAAACCTCTAACCAACTTTTTGTTGAAAAGAGACTTTCACTGTCACCCAGGCTGGAGTGCAGCCTCGACCTCCCAAGCATAAGCCATCCTCCTAACTCAGCCTCCCAAAGTGCTGGGACTACAGGCATGAGCCGCTGCCAGCCACAAACTTACTTTTTTTTTTTTTTGAGACGGAGTTTCGCTCGTTACCCAGGCTGGAGTGCAATGGCGCGATCTCGGCTCACGGCAACCTCCGCCTCCTGGGTTCAGGCAATTCTCCTGCCTCAGCCTCCTGAGTAGCTGGGATTACAGGTATGCGCCACCGTGCCCAGCTAATTTTTTGTATTTTTAGTAGAGACAGGGTTTCACCATGTTGACCAGGATGCTCTCGATCTCTTGACCTTGTGATCCACCCACCTCGGCCTCCCAAGTTTTTACTTCAGCTGAAGTCTACTTGACTCATTTGTTTTATATGGATTGTGCTTTTGGGCTTGTACCAAAGAAATTTTAGGTGAAGGGGAGGAAGGCAGCAAAACACACTGCCACGTGTGTACCTATGCAACTATCGTGAATGTTCTGCACATGTACCCCCAAACCTAAAATGCAATTAAAAAAATGTGGTATATCCATACAATGGATATACTATTCCAGTAATAAAAAGAACAAAGTATCAATACAGAAAAAAAAAGAAATCTTTGCCTAATTATCATCATCCAGACACCCGCTCCCAGTTATCGCCGTCCAGACACCCGCTCCCAGTTATCGCCGTCCAGACACCCGCTCCTAGTTATCACCATCCAGACACCCAGTCTTAGTTATCGCCGTCCAGACACCCGCTCCCAGTTATCACCGTCCAGACACCCAGTCTTAGTTATCGCCGTCCAGACACCCGCTCCCAGTTATCACCATCCAGACACCCAGTCTTAGTTATCGCCGTCCAGACACCCGCTCCCAGTTATCGCCGTCCAGACACCCGCTCCCAGTTATCGCCGTCCAGACACCCGCTCCCAGTTATCGCCGTCCAGACACCCGCTCCCAGTTATCACCGTCCAGACACCCAGTCTTAGTTATCACCGTCCAGACACCCGCTCCCAGTTATCGCCGTCCAGACACCCGCTCCCAGTTATCGCCGTCCAGACACCTGCTCCTAGTTATCACCGTCCAGACACCCAGTCTTAGTTATCACCGTCCAGACACCCGCTCCCAGTTATCGCTGTCCAGACACCCGCTCCTAGTTATCACCATCCAGACACCCAATCTTAGTTATCGCCGTCCAGACACCCGCTCCCAGTTATCGCCGTCCAGACACCCGCTCCTAGTTATCGCCGTCCAGACACCCGCTCCTAGTTATCGCCGTCCAGACACCCGCTCCTAGTTATCACCGTCCAGACACCCAGTCTTAGTTATCGCCGTCCAGACACCCGCTCCCAGTTATCGCCGTCCAGACACCCGCTCCCAGTTATTGCCGTCCAGGCACCCAGTCTTAGTTATCGCCGTCCAGACACCCGCTCCCAGTTATCGCCGTCCAGACACCCGCTCCCAGTTATTGCCGTCCAGGCACCCAGTCTTAGTTATCGCCGTCCAGACACCCGCTCCCAGTTATCGCCGTCCAGACACCCGCTCCCAGTTATCGCCGTCCAGACACCCGCTCCCAGTTATTGCCGTCCAGGCACCCAGTCTTAGTTATCGCCGTCCAGACACCCGCTCCCAGTTATCGCCGTCCAGACACCCGCTCCCAGTTATCGCCGTCCAGACACCCGCTCCCAGTTATCGCCGTCCAGACACCTGCTCCTAGTTATCGCCGTCCAGACATTTCACTCCTAGAGAAATGAAAGCCTCGCTCTGTGTAAAGACTTTTTTTTTCTTGTTTTTTTGAGATGGAGTCTCACTCTGTTGCCCAGGCTGGAGTGCAGTGTTGCAAAATCTCGGCTCACTGCAACCTTTGCTTCCCAGGTTCAAGCTATCCTCCTGCCTCAGCCTCCTGAGTAGCTGGGATTACATGTGACCACCACCATTCCCTGGTAATTTTTGCATTTTTAGTAGAGATGGGGTTTCACCATGTTGGCCAGGCTGGTCTTGAGTTCCTGCCCTCAGACGATCTGCCCACTTCAGCCTCCCAAAGTGCTGGGATTACAGGCGTGAGCCACCAAGCCTGTCCTCCGTATGAAGACTTATATATAAAATTCACAGCAGCTTTATGCATAATATCTAATAACTAGAAGGCAAATTGGTATAAGGCCTACAGTGGATCAGTACGCAGCAGTAACAGAAAGAAGGGACACATGCATCACGGATGAATCTCAGAACGATCCTGCAGCGCGAGAGAGCAAAGGGCAGATCCATGATCGCAGGAGGACAGGCCACCAAGGGCACAAGACACAGTCAGGAGGAATGCTGTGTCCACCCCGCCTGCAGGGTGGTTTTATGGATAAATAAGCATGTCCATGTGAAGATTCACATGCAAACGTTCGTAGCAGCTGTTATGTATACTACAAAGATATGGATAGATATTTATCAATTATGCGTATGCTATATAGATATGGATAGATATTTATCAATTATACAGTGTGAACCTGTATTTATTGTATATCAATTATACCCAAATAAAGCTTTTTTATTTTTTTTTTTGAGAAAGAGTCTCACTGTGTTGCCCAGGCTGCAGTGCAATGGCACGATCTTGGCTCACTGCAATCTCCACCTCCCGGATTCAAGCAATTCTTCTGCCAGAGCCTCCTGAGTGGCTGGGCTTACAGGCACACACCACCATGCCTGACTAATTTTGTATTTTTAGTAGAGATGGGGTTTCTCCACGTTGGTCAGGCTGGTCTCGAACTCCCCACCTCAGGTGATCCGCCCACCTCGGCCTCCCAAAGTGCTGGGATTACAGGCGTGAGCCACCACGCCTGGCTCATAAAGCTGTTTTTTAGGCCAGGAGTGGTGGCTCAAGCCTGTAATCTCAGCACTTTGGGAGGCCGAGGCAGGGGGATCATATGAAATCAGGAGTTCAGCCAGCCTGGCCAACACAGTGAACCCCCGTATCTACTGAAAATACAAACAGTAGCCAGGTGTGGTGGTGCACACCTGTAATACCAGCTACTCAGGTTGCTGAGGCAGGAGAATCATTTGAACCTGGGAGGTGGAGTTTGCAGTAAACCGAGATCATGGCACTGACTCCAGCCTGGGCAATAGAGCAAGATTCTGCCTCAAAATAAATAAATAAATGAAGCTGGTTTTTTTAGAGAGGCAGGGATTGTCAGAATGAGTAAAAAAGCAAGGCTTCCTATATGCTGCCTACAAGAAACACACTTTGAACATAAAGACACAAATACCTTAATCCTTTTCTCGTTCAGGAAAAGAAACTGCATCACTGCCGGCGCTCATTTAATGGAGGCTGAGGCAAATCTGACTGATTTCCAATGTGAAAATGAAACATAAAAACTGTTCTTTGCGTTATTTCTAAACAGAACTAACATCAGAGCCATCTGGGAAAATCAGATTCACCAAAGGAGACTTTGGCCAGCGACCGTTGGAGAACGATGCTAATGTCACATGTAGGAATGCTGTGTTTTCTAGGATTTGACATTTCAGCAATTGAGAACTCCTATATTTTGTAAATGGAAATACCACTACTGAAAACAGAACGCTGTGAATAGAATGACGTCTTTGCTCCCGAACTTGATACACTAGAGCAACGCAGAAGCAACCATGAAAACAAGCGTCTCGGGGCAAACTCATCTTGGGGTGAACATTGCAGCCGTGAGCACTCTGGCGTGTGTTCTTGGGGCAAACAGGAAAAGGGTTAAAAACAAACGCTGGAGGGCCGGGCACGGTGGCTCACACCTGTAATCCCAGCACTTTGGGAGGCCGAGGCAGGTGGATCA